AGAACACTGCACAACTTGCACTGGTTAATTTCCTTTCTGTAAAGCACTAAAAAAAAAAGTAACATTTACATAGTAAATATGGTTACTTACAGTGTGTCAAGCACTGTACTAGGCACTGGATGTTTGTGAGAGAGCACGGAGCAGAGAACGGCATAGGCTTTAGAACAAGACATACTTGGAGTCTGATCCCCAGTCTGACCTTTATTTCCTCCTCTGTAAAGGGAAGTTAGTGAAGTGTTAGTGAAGGCTTAAGTGAGATCATGTAACTCAGGACAGTGACTGGCATACAATAATGATGATAACAGCTAACATTTAGTGAATGCTTACTATGTGCCAGACACTGTTTCTAAGCTCTTTACCAATATTAACTCATTCTTCAACAACCCTATGAGAAAGGTCTACCTTTACTAGTTTTGAAGCTTATGAGGAAGGTATTATAACTGCATTTTTACAGAAGAAAAAACAGATCCTTAGATGTTAAGTAATTTGCTGCAAATCACACAGCTAGTAAGTTGCATAGTAGGATTTGAAAGCAGCCTATCATAGGGATTGAGAGCACAGACAGCCTGGGTTAAATGCTCCATAAATATTAGTTATAACAGTTTAATAAATGCTCACAATTGGGGCTGGCCCCATGGCCGAATGGTTAAGTTCACGCGCTTTGCTTTGGTGGCCCAGGGTTTCGCCGGTTCAGATCCTGGGCATGGACATGGCACCGCTTGTCAAGCCATGCTGAGGTGGCGTCCCACATGCCACAACTAGAAGGACCCACAACTAAAATATACAACTATGTACTGGGGGGATTTGGGGAGTAAAAGGAAAAGAAAAATAAATGCTCACAATTTTTATTACTGGTTATTTATATCTCTCATTTAATTCTTAGGATGCCTATTAAACAGGAATTATCCCATTTACTTGAGGAAACAGGCTGGGGTGGCAATAAAGCCCTCTTTGCCCAAATACATTCCGTGACCCACCCAGTCACAGAATGTATTAGCTCCCTGTTAGAGCCCGAGTCCTCAGAAACTGCTCCCTCCACTTAGCCAGTCTGAAAGGCATTCCTCTTGCTAAGGAGGTCCTTCTGCCTTTCCTCTCTGCTAGAATCTCATGCCTTATTATTTCTATTTTAATTACACAAATTAACCCATAGATACATTCCTGTTATAAAAGATTTGGATATATAAGCAAATATAGTCCTTATTGATGGAATTTTACATTGTGACTATTCACAATTATAAACGATGCTGCAATGAACAGAATAGTAGATACATCTTGCAAAAATATTGTTTAAGATTCTTAAAAGAGGAACTGCTGTTTAAATATTTAAAATATTTGTAGATCCCACCAAATTGCCCTCCAAAAGCTTTACTAATTTATGATCCCTTCAATAGTGTGAATGTGTTTCTCTCCATTCCCACCAATACTGCTCATTATAAATACTTTTGATTTTTCCAACAGAATCAGTTAATAATACTTTAACTTTGTTCACTTTTCATTTGGGCTGTTTGTTTTTTCTTACTGATTTTTAGGTAACTTTTATTTGTTGCAGATAATAATCCTTTCTGTTATGTTACAAATAGGTAATGTCTACTTCATCTTTAAAGGTTCAACTTTAACTCGCTTAAGATTCGTTTTTTTTGTTTTTAAAGATTGGCCCTGAGCTAACATCTGTTGCCAATCGTTTTTCCTTCTTCTCCCCAAAGCCCCCCAATGCATAGTTGTATGTTCTAGTTGTAGGTCATTCTGGCTTTGCTATGTGGGATGCCACCTCAGCATGGCTTGATGAGCAGTGCTAGGTCTGCAACCAGGATCCAAAGTGGTGAAACCCTGGGCCGCCCAAGTAGAGTGTGCAAACTTAACCACTCAGCCACGGGGCCGGCCCCACTTATATGATTGTTATTCCAGCGTTGTTTTGTTTCTCTCTCTCAAACTAGACTAAGCAACATGAAGGCAGAGATCATATTATTCATCACATCAGTTTCCAAAAGTGTCTGGCACATGAGAAGGTATCAGAAAAACCTGTAGAACCAATGACTGAATAAATGAAGGCTTGATTAGGGAACCAATTTACCTTCAGATTGTGAATTTATTTTTAAAACTGAATGTCCATGTAATCAGCTCAGTACTTGGCACACTAACCCAAGATGTAGGGTAGAAGAGCATCCCTCAACCCCACTCTTTGTTTTACTTGGCAAATATTGGTCAATATTTAATATTGGTGGGAAAAGATGGACAACAATGTATGGGATCTCATCATGAAAATATGACAGCTCTTTATGGCAGTCCTGTCCAAACCCATTGCTGCTTCGCTCTTAACCCCAGTCCCAAAGACTATCTGCTAGTTTTACACTTCTTGGCCCACACTTCCACCATTTAGGATTTCTTCCTCCCATGATCTCTCAGTGCTAGTTTCTGCAGGGCCATCCTCTGGGGATAGGTGGTTTGGGGTCTCAGTGGTGTGCACTGCCTTGCTCTTTCCTCCTCTGCAGCTCCTCCCGCCGCCTTGCCTGCTGTTCACTCATGCAGTCCCTGAAGGCCTGCACCTGTGCCTGGCACTGTCGCCAGTCCTGGTACTGGGCCATGCACTCCTGCACTGCATAGTGGGAAGCAGCACAGCCAGATCGGGAGATCAGCTGGTCCAGAGGGTCCTCTTCCTCATCCTCCTTCTTCACCTGTCGGACCCAGGTATGGCCTTGAGTTGACATCTTTGGGAGTCTCTAGAACATCAATGGAGGCAAGGTTAGAATAGGGACATGATTATAAATGAGGTTCCTCTACTATAAATACCACTGACCACTGCACTGTTATAGCCTATTTATGCATATGTTTTCCCTTGGAGACTGTAAGCTATTTGAGGACAGATATTGGACCTGATTCACCTTTGTGCCCCCAGCACTAGGCGTGGCAGAGTGCATGCCTACAAAATGGTTTGAACTGAATGGAATGAGACAAAGTATGTGAGAATGCTTAGCACAGCACTAAATAAGCTTCAATGGACTCTGCTAATGGAATCTGAATTAGGTGAAATGTCACCTTTTTGGAGAAGCTATCTCTGATCCACCCCAAAAGAATTAATCTCTCTTCTTTTCTCCTATTGGCCTTATTCTATGGCTGGAGAAGAACAAAGTTAAACACTTGGGAGAGTACCCAATTATGCATAGGGTTTGACATATGGGAGGAATGGAGACAGCTGAGTGGCAGTAGCATACAGTGTGCAAGGGTCAGGGCAAGAGATGAGTCTGTGAGGTAAGCAAGAGTGCTTAATGTGAGGTGTATTTGCCCAGACTCTCTTCCCAAGATCATCTGCTTCAGAACACCCAGCAGAAAGTAGCACAGAGAAGGACCTTAAGGAAGGTTTGAAGAGAAATGACCCTGGCCTTTGCACAAATTTCACCATAACATGCTATAAAGGAGCGAAGATTCCTTAATGCCTGTGTCTCTGATTCACTCAGCAAAGGATCACTGAGTACCTATCATGCTAGAGTTGAGGATACAGGAGTGACCAAGACACAGTTCCTGCCTTCATGGAGTTTACAATCTAAACAAGTAAACAGTTTACTATACAGTGTGTCCAGACAGTTAAAACTGGGAACACAGTGGAGGGATACCAGACAAGGGCAGGAATAGGCAGGGAAGGCTTCCTGGGAAAGTGATTTCTAAACTGAGACTTGAAGGATGAATAGGAGTTAGCCAGAGATGGGGAGGAAGAATGTTCCTGGTCAATGGAAGAGCACGGAGGGGGTTGAGACAAAATGCAACACGGAGAGGAAGTGAAAGTTCCGTATGACTGGAGAATAAAGTATGAGAACAGGAAAACAAGTGAAATTGGCAAGACGAGAAAATATCTGATCATAGCAAGGCCTTGTTAGCCCTGTGAAGGCATTTAGAGGGCAATGGAAGTCACAAGAAGGATCTAAGCACTCCACAGCCCGACACAAAACTCATTTGCTTTGGAGGAAGCATAACCTAAGGGAGGAGGGGGGAAATGGGCCTTCACAACAGGCTTGGATTGGAAGCCTGGCTTTGTCAACTGACTCATTGGGTGACCTTGAGCAAATCAATTCATAATCTATCTTGAAAAAAAGAGATAATATCTACCTCACACGATTGTCGAAGACTAAATGAGAGAATGCATGTAAGGAGACTGGCACGTCCAGAGTTCAATAACGATAGTTCGTATTACTGTACGTTTCCTCTTTCTAAATACACCGTGAGCTCTTTAAAGGCAAACCTCTTAGAGCAAGCACGGTGGAAAGAAAAGTGCCTTGGTTCCTAAACCTAGAAATCCGAGTTCGAATACAGGCACCACGCCTTACCATGCAATCTGTTTACCCTAGCATGCAATCTGTTTAAGTTTCCTCCTTAAAGTAATATTTAACTCGCAGAATTACTGTCAGGATTAATATGATAATAAGTGAAAAGTGCATGGGCTACAACCGGATTCAGTAAATGCTACCGTACTCTTCCCCCGCCAAATCCCGCCTTCCGTGCCCCCTGGAGTAAAAAGAGGAGGACCCTTGCTCAGAGATGTGGGCAAGCGAGATGGTCGGCAGCTGGATGGCGGAGGCCGGCCTGGACTGACGTTTGGAAAGGACGGGAAAGCAGAGAAAATCAGGTGGCCAAGTCACCTGAGGTTCCTCTTCCAACTTCAGGAGAGGACGCATGCGCGCGCGCAATGGCTGAGCACACCTCGGTTGTGCCCGCTACGCTTCACCGCACAAAGGCGCCGCACGAGACGCTCACCGGAACAGGACACCCGAACGCGCGCTCCTGCACAGCAGCGTCGGCTTTGCACGCAGTTGGAACGCTTCCGACTCTCCTGCCAGGAACCAGCCTCTATGGGGAGCGCGCGCGCGGATGTGGGTGAGGGGAAGGACCCACCGCGCATTTTCATTGGTGGCCTCTCGGTGTAGATCCCGCCCTCCGTCCTCGCCTCAGACCCTTCAGGGGACCCACTTCCGGGAAAGAGCGGAAGAGGCGGGCTAGTGGAGGCGGGTTCAAGATGGCGGCGCCTTTGAGGATTCAGAGCGACTGGGCGCAAGCCCTCAGGTGAATCCAAGCCCGGAACCGGGACAAAGGAGGCGGGTAACGGATGTTGCCTTTGCGTTAAGGATAACCTTGCCCGGCCCAGGATATCAATAGGGGTTACCTCATCAGTTGTTGAGGGAGCACTAGGTCTAGAAAAAGTCTCAAATCTACATGGTCATTGTTTTTCATTTTTAGAAGAGCTGCCATGAGGCCAAGGGAACACATAGGTCCTGTGTGATCCCAGCGTGAGAACTAGGATCGATGAGTTGAAGAAAGACTCTTGGCTGAGGAGTCATAGTTGTTTAGCAAATATTTATTGGTCGCCAGCTGTTTGCAAAAGTCCCTGTCCTCACCACCACCACATTGTCTTTGAGTGTATGATGAAATCTTTGTATCTTCCTCGGCCTGTAGTGCTCTGTTAGTCATATTGGACAATTCTGTTCAGGAAACCATGTGATATGATACTACCATGTCCAGACTCTGACCTAGGTAGATGCTTGGTAGAGTTCGGATGTGTACTCTAAACTTAAGGGTTGGTTCCTGCCCTCAAGAAGCTGACAACTTAATTGGGAAGGCACAGGAAACCATTCATCCATTTAAAATATACTTTTGATCATATACTGTGCAAGTCATTACTCTAGATACCAGGATAAGTACAGCAGTGCCATGAATGGCAACTATTATTACTGATAAGGGTTTTTCAAGTTGAAACAATGGTGAAGATGAATAAAACATAGCCTCCTGCATTTAAGAAATTTAAACTTAATACCTTACTAGATAGGCCAAAACGAAATACACATCACTTGCTACAACAGAGAAAGTGTGATAAGTAATAAAGGAAGAACACTAACATTTATTGAGGGCCACCAGGCGCCTATGAGAGAAGGCAGAATCAGAATCACAATCAGAGAAAGTAACTTGCCCAAGATCATGCAGCTAGTAAGTGATAGAGAGTTGCTGTCAACCTACGTCTTCCTCCTTAAAGGCCTAAGCCCTTTCCACTATACCTTAAAAGTGTTAGAGTGAGGAGATAAGGATTAGAGGTGCATTCTAAAACATGTAAAAAGTCTGTGAGGTGGTAGAACATAGACATCATATATAGTCCTCGGTTTCAATTCCTGCTTCATAGCTAGGTGACCTTGGGCAAGTCACTTCTCTCTGAGCTTCAGATTTTTATCTTTTTTTTAAAGATTTTATTTTTTCCTTTTTCTCCCCAAAGCTCCCTGGTACATAGTCATATATTCTTAGTTGTGGGTCCTTCTATTTAGGCATGTGGGACACTGCCTTGGCATGGCCTGATGAGTGGTGCCATGTCCGTGCCCAGGATCCGAACCAAAAAAACCCTGGGCCTTCGCAGCAAAGCTTGCAAACTTAACCACTTGGCCACGGGGCTGGCCCCTGGTTTTTTATCTTTAACATGGGGATAATAAAAGGTATCTTGTTAAGTTGTGAGGATTAATGATGTTATATGCAAAGTGCTGGCATAGGGCCTGGCTTACAATAGTCTCAATAAATATCTAAATATAAAATATTTGTGATTGTTCAAAGCTATAGAGCTATAAATGAATAGTGAACTCCGTATTGAAATATTTGCGCTTTCTTTAACCAACAGATATCTGGGTATTAAACACTTAATCGACAACTATTTCTTCAACAAATAAACCAAGTTTGTCTTAGAATAATCTATACCTGGATAAGATGTTATATTAGACGTGTTTAAGTACTATGGCCAAACTGGAAATTATATGATCTTTTTTCTCCCCTTGCACCAGTGGCATCCTTTTCAACGTTGAGTGAGCCTAATTAGGCTTTTGTCTCTCTTCATAGGAAGGATGAAGGGGAGGCCTGGCTGAGCTGTCACCCCCCAGGTAATGTCCATAAATCTATATGCCTTCCCTTTAGAGAAGGAGGATTTACCATCCTTAGAAGAGAGTGTCCTACTTTCTCCTGGCCCAGACTCCTTGTGCAATGCTCATAATCTTCAAATGTTCTTGACCAGTCTGTGCTGTACTCACATCACCCCAACTTCTCCATTCCGGGGAAAGGCCTTCAGATTGATTTCCCATTTAGAAGCCACAGACTTACTCATGGACACATTGCTGATGCATCTTAATCAGTTTCTTAGCCATTTATTATTGTATTCTAAACAGTTCTATAGCTTCAATTGTGACCTTCCTGATGATGATTTCTAGATCTAGAGCTCTAGTGCCGGGGTCCAGCCCCAGCTGAACAGGGTCTCCTGAGGGATGGACGGCGTTGGCGAGGGAGGAGGCGGTGAGACAAGGAGTTTGGTGTCCAAGTCTAACTTTATTTTGTGTATGTATGATTTATATAGGGCTCAGGGTATGCAAGGATGATTTCATGAAACAATCCCAGTACATGCTTTTGGCTTGCGTAAGCGGGTTTTTGCAAGGTAGACAATAGTCCTAAGAGTAATTGATTGTAAGGTAGACAATAGTCCTAAGAGCAATTGATTGTGTGTAGGCCGGGGGGGAGTCAAGCTTCTGCCCAAGAGTAAGTGATTGTGTGTAGGCCCAGGGGGAGTTAAGCTTCTGTAATTCTTTACTTCAAGGAGGCTACCCCCAGCGGCCTCCTGACTCAATGGGCTTTGGCAACCACCGTCCTCCCAGAGAGATCTGTGGGGGCTGCAGATTTCTTTGTTCCTTCTCCACTCCCATCGCTTCACCAGACCAAAGGACGGGTCAGAATGTTCTTTCCCTAGAAGATGTTTTTTCCCAGAACTTTCCCTAGAATATTGTATTGTTTCATTTTCATTCCCTGGGCCGAGCTGACTTCCCCTGAAATAACCCCAGGTGCAGAACAGAGTAAGCAGAAGCAGGAAAGTCAAAAGTGCCAGGGAGACTTATTGCAGGAGCAGCCTGGTAGATTCCCTTGAGGGTCGCCGTGCGTCCCCTCATCTCTCTCCTGGACGGTGTCACAAGGCAGAGGCTTAACTTGTAGGCTGACGGCTCCCAGCACTCTAGCCCTGACCTCTCTTTGAATTCAAGTAGAGATTGAACAGTTGTCTGCTAGACATTTCTGCTAGAACACTTGTCTACTAGACATTCACTGTCATCTTGAATTTATCAAATCCAGAACCAAGCTGAGCACTTCTGTTGTCAAACAGGTTATCTTTCTAGATTTTCTCATTTCTTTTTTTCTTTTGAGGAAGATTAGCCCTGAGCTAACATCCACTGCCACTCCTCCTCTTTTTGCTGAGGAAGATAGGCCCTGAGCTAATATCTATGCCCATCTTCCTCCATTGTTTTTTAATATGTGAGATGCCTGCCACAGCATGGCTTGATAAGCAGTGTGTAGATCTGTGCCCAGCATTCGAAGTGGCAAACCCCCAGCTGCCGAAGCAGAGCACATGAACTTAACCGCCATGCCACTGGGCTGGCCCCCTTATTTCCTAAGTTACTATCATTCTAGGCATCAGAGTGAAAAACCTAGTCACTTTACTCTGCCATATCCAGATAGTTCCCAAATCTTATCAATTTTTCCTTTGACTGACACTCCTGTGTTATTCTTCTCTATTTGTTTGCAGTTAGTGTGGTGACATTAAAAAAAAATCAAATTTCCTTCTAAATTTATCAGAAAGTTTTGTTTTACTGATTATTTTTCATTTCAGATACCTTTGATGTCTTTGTATAATAATATATTCTATTTCTAGGAGAAATAGAGGGTTTTTTGCTTTGGTTTGGTTTGGTTTTTTTTGCTGAGGAAGATTTGCCCTGAGCTAACGTCCACTGCCAATCTTCCTCTTTTTGTATGTGAACCGCCACCACAGCATGACCACTGACAGATGAGTGGTGTAGGTCCCTGCCTGGGAACTGAACCTGGGCGGCTGAAGTGGAGTGTGCTGAACTTAACCCCTAGGCCACCAGGTCTGGCCCAGAAATAGAGTTTTAATCAGAGTCTTCTTTTGAGCAAATTGGTACTGCATAGAAGAAGAGAGAATGGTAGCTGGAAGGTCAAGGGTTTTGTTTTTAAAGATGGGAACTAATTGCAGAGCAATTAAAATATAGGTTGTAGGTAGCAGAGAGGACTGACTAAAAAGCCAATGTCTTAGAAGAGATAGAAGGAGATAGAATTAAGTCTAAAAGAGTAAGATGAAAGAAGGTGAGGGTAAGTGCAGATGTAGATAAATGCATAGGCGTGGACATGGAAATTTGAGAGTGTCTTAATGCCTCAGTTCTCTTTGTGATGTTGAAAATAGTGTCAGCTCCTAAGGAAGAGGTTTTTTGTTTTGATTTGTTTTTTTGTGAGGAAGATTGTCCCTGAGCTAACATCTCTTACCAATCTTTCTGTTTTTGCTTGAGGAAGATTGTCCTGAGCTAACATCTGTGCCAGTCTTCCTCTATTTTATGTGGGACGCTGCCACAGTGTGGCTTAAAGAGCAGTGCTAGGTCCACGCCCAGGATCTGAACCTGCAAACACCAGGCCACTGACACAGAGTGCTCAAACTTAACCACTATGCCATGGGGCCAGCCCCAGATTTTGTTTGTTTTTAAATAGCAGTTTTATTGAAGTAGAATGAGTCCTACTTACTTTACATACATTATTTCTATTTCTCACAACCCTATGAGGTAGGTACTATTAGGATCTTAATTTTTTTTAAGTAACAGCTTTATTGAGATATAATTTACATACCATAAGGTTCACCTTTTTAAAGTATATAGGGCTGGCCTGGTGGCATTGTGGTTAAGTTCACGCACTCTGCTTTGGCAGCCTGGGGTTCACAGGTTCAGATCCTGGGCATGGACCTGGCATCTCTCATCAAGCCATGCTGTGGCGGCATACCACATAAAATAGAGGAAGATTGGCAGAGATGTTAGCTCAGTAACAACCTTTCTTAAGCAAAAAGAGGACAATTAGCGACAGATGGTAGCGACAATCTTCCTCACAAAAAAATAAATAAATAAAATAAATAAAGTATATAATTCAGTAGACTTTAGTATGTTCACAGAGTTGTGTATCTATCATGACTATCTAATGCCAACCATTTTCATCACCCCTAAAAGAAACTATACTCTTTAGCAGTCATTCCCCATTCCCCCCCCCCCCCAGCCCCTAGCAGCCACTAATAAACTTTCTGTCTCTATGGATTTGCCTATTCTGGACATTTCATATAAATGGAATCATGAAATATATGGTCTTCTGACTTCTTTCCTTTAGCATAACATTTCCAAGTTTCATCCATTTTTGTCAATACTTTGTTCCTTTTGTGGCCAAGTAATAGTCCGTTACATAGATACACCACATTTTTTTATCCATTCATCATTTGATGGACATTTGAGTTGTTTCTACTTCTTAGCTATTAAGAAAGAAGGTTTTTATGGCAGGATAGGTGTCATGAGAATTGGCTGCTGTGGGGAACAGCAGGGGCAAAAGGACTGCAAAACTATGCAGAGTTTGAGTGGTGCCAGTCTGCACAGTTGGGTCCTTTTCTCTAGCGGCAGTTAGCAGCCTGCATGTAGGAATGTAGAAGGTGAGTATTTGGATTAATCCCAGGTCTGTTATATAGATGAAAAACCAACACTGAGATCATTTCGGTGACTTTACAAAGAGACCACTGAGGGTGCAGATAGGAGATAGTTTGCAGTGATGTACCATGAGGGCCAGACTTCATAGGGCAGTTGGTGAAGCCAAGAGGGAATCAGAGTGGGACAAAAAGCCGAGTTCCCTCAATCCTATTTTTGTGGCATCTTTCTGAACTATCGCTTCACGCTAGTTTTCTGCCAAAAGCTTCTTCACTAGATCTTCTCTTGTCCAAACTTCTACCCTAGATTGTGAGGCCCTCCATTAATATCCTCCATCTACCTTTTCCATGACTGTTGTAAGCAAACCTGGTATATTCTTTGATGCCTCCTTCCCCCTGTTCTTTCTGACTTTCTTTTATTCTTTACATGCCCCTGCCTGACTTGGAGTTTCCTTTGCTTATCTTCTGCCTAGCCCAGTCCTATCTTTCAAGGTCCTACTCAAGTTCCACCCTCTCTGGGAAGCCCTCCAACTCTGTGTCAATCCATGATGGGTGGTTTCTACTTCCCTCTTACTCCTAGAATTTCAGTTTGGTGCAACAGTTATTTACTGAATAATTTGTAGCACCCTGCTAGTTTCTGCAGTCCAGGTGTGCACAGTCTAGGGGGGAGGTCAGACATGTAAACTGTGTTATGGGCTGTTACAGAAGTATATATATAAAGTGCAGAAGAAGAATAGAAAGTTTTAAATTTCATTCTACCATCTACATATGTTTATATGTAGATGGGGTAATATTGTGTTTAGCCCATATTACTGAGAAAGCAATGTTCTACTTAAGCACATTTTCCAGATTACTGACGCTTAACTCTTTGCCGTGTATTTTGCGTATATCCTGTGGATGTATATGCATGTTGATCTTCACCTTTCATCCTGGGAAAATTCCATTTCACAGCCAGCAAAACTGAGATTGAGATCACGCCACTAGCTTTCTCTACAAATATTACGTTATATCTCTAAATCTTTGTTCCTAGCTTTTAGCCCTTGAGTGTATTCTCTCCCAAATTAGGTTCGCCTAGGCTAGTGCTCTTTCCACTTCACCTCACTTTTAATATGAATACCTGCTTTTCTTTCATGAGCCAATTTTCTGCTGTCTATACAGATGCCTAAATTGGGTCTTCAAGGAGAAAAATGTTAAATTCTTCTTCTTTTTTGAGACATGCTTCTTTTGTGCTTATAGGGAAACCAACTCTGTATGGCAACCTAACTTGTCAAGGAATTGGCCAAGATGGCATCCCAGAAGTTACAGCTTCAGAAGGATTTATTGTGAATGAAATAAACAAGGTAGGTTTTTATGTCTTCTAGAAGACACCATGTCCAAAACTGTGATTGTACCTATATATCTACTTTAAATATTTGTACTATTATCTATGTGTCAGTGTCATCTCCATTTCATTTGTACCATAATCATAGTTTTTATTGCCTTGAATATCAAGAGGTTTATTTTTGTAGTTACATATATTTTTAGATGCAATCAAACTTCCTAATACTTCCCTTATCCCCACACTGTACAATAGATAAATAATATGAGCCACATAGGTAATTTTAAATTTTTTAGTAGCCACATGAAAAAGGAAAAAAGAAATGAGTGAAATTAATTTTAATAATATATTTTATTTAACCCAGTCTGTCTAAAATATTTCAACCTCTAATTAATATTAAAAAAATATTAATGAGATATTTTACGTTCATTTTTTTCTTATTGTCTTTGAGATCCTGCATATATTTTATACTTACAGCTCATCTCAATTCAGACTCTAATTTTTATTGAAAATACTTGATATGTATGTAGATTTCATAAAATTTATAGTTGAGAACATAGATTCACAAACCCAAGTAGTTCTAAACATACTTAAAAAGTTTTCCAATAAATCAAGTATTAGTTTTTAAATTAAACTTTAAGTTAATAAAATAAAATATTCAGTTCCTTATTTGCATTGGCTACATTTCAAGTGCACAGTAGCCTCATGTGGCTAGTACCTACCGTATTGGATAGCATAACCTTATAATGTGCCTGACCTTGGTGAAGACCTACATTAATAGTATTTAATGGTTTTTCTCATTGGTCTTTAAAGTGAGTAGATGGCCAAACTAAGTGTTGCAGAACCCATGATCTGACCTTCCTTACTCTTTCTGATGGCTGCAGTCAGTGTGCTTGGTGAGATGATTCCCAAAGGGTAAACCAGCCTTTTATTTTTCCCCATTTTTTGTGTAATTAAACTTTTTTAGTTGTAAAATATTTTGGGTATACTGATAAGAATAGAGAATACTTTGTTTTTTACATAAAGTTTTTAGCAAATGTTCATTTATTACTCTCTGTGCAAGGTAATAGGCAACATATTGTTATATATTTTATATATACTTTTCATAAACAGCCATGGTATTGTAGAAGGTGTCAGAAGATCTGAGTCCAAGTCTTATTAACTGACACTTACTAGCAATATGGTTTTGGATAAATAACTTAGTTCCCTGAGCCTCAGTTTCCTCATCTATAAAATGGAGATAGTATTCTACTTCATAGGCTGGCTAGTTAGTGGGGAGTGAGAGTGCATATGAATGAAACTAAGATATTACAAAAGTGAGTTGTTGTTTATCATAACATTCTAGGTGATTGGCATTTTAAATTTCCACCCAGATAAGCAAACAGACTCAGAGAGGTTAATTAACCCTAATAATCAAAGCTAGTTAGACTGTATACCAGAATTGAAACCCAGTTCTAATAACTTCAAGTATAACACCACTTTGCCAGCCTACATTTTTCCCAGGTGTTTTGCATCCACAGCCTGGGTGCTGACTTCCTTTCTTCCCTTTGTACTCAGGCCCTGATGCAATCCTATCTCTTCCAGCATCATTGCTAATTTCTGCTGTGTACCTGCTGGGTCAGACAGTAAGTGCTTATGGTTGAGCATTCAATTCCTAACTGCCATGAGTCACTTTGCTATTTGATGTTGCTACATTGTTCTGTTAAACAGAAGATCTGTCATTATGTTTAAATACTTAACCCCAAAGAATAAAAAAGTTTAACTTTGAATTTTATCTTAGTGTGGAATACTCACATCCCCGCCCCTATCCCCAGAATTTTGCCTGTTTTGATGTCTCCTGCAACTTTTCTTTAAAATATTTTCATTAACAGCACGATTCTCCACTGCTTACATTGGAAGGTAGTTCCACATTTATCTTCCTCCATAGCCTGGTTATGGATTAAAGATTGATTTGCAGGATTGATAAGCACAAGAAAACCACTGATTCTTGAAATCTTTCCTGTAATCAGCCCCAAAGAAATTAAGTCTTCCGAGAGAAAACCCAATTCTTACAGAATCCTGAACACTAAGCTCTTGGAGCTCCTTGCACCCTTGCTAGCAGGAATATTTAGCCAGTAGACTTTAGCTGACACTATAGTTTTGGGTACAGGAGGCAATTCCAAATCCAGGTCAGCTCTCTTGCAGCTATATGGGCTTTGTCATGTGTTAGAAGCAAAAACTCATTTAATGAAAGGCCTGCAGGCAGCCAGGCGTGCGTATACTAGCTAAGAAAGTACTGTTTATATGAATATTCTGATTTTCTTTTTAAAGGAGTGGAAGACCTGTAATAAGAGCATATTGATTTTTAGTGATGAGAATATTATGATTTCAAAACTAATGAACTGTGAGAACCCGTGCTTATTGTACATAGATTAACCTTATAAAGAGGTTCAGAAAATCTTGATTACTGAAGACATTTTCATTGTCCAGTAGAATTTCCAGAAACTTTGGAGTGCTGCTACAGAAGAAATAGCAGATTAAGGGCTGTTTAGTGAGTGCAGCTCCTCAGCTCTCTATATGAGACAATATATCCTTAGGTGGTGGTGGTGGTATTCTACTGGTTAGAGTAAGGGACTGTCATTTTGCAAGAATACTTGAAAAACGTTTATCTAGCCTTTTATGCATCAACACGTTCTACCTTAAATGGTTACAAAGGCTGCCTTTAGCAAGTCATATAGCCTGAATCTAACATCTGATTCTAGGTGCAATTTCCTACTGTGTCACCAGTGTTGTCTTGCTACAGTAGCTGAAAGATGTGATAATGACTAGGCAAAACACCTGGGCAATCATAATACAGCTCTCTGACAGTGACCTATCTACAAACATGTACAGTCAGTTGAAGTCCTAGGTGGAATGGGCCCCACAAGCTTGACCAGGGCCTACACATTGTATGAGTGTACCGTAATTTACTTTACCACTTTTCTCTGGTACCTGTAGATGTCAGTAGCCTAAGCTTTTCTCTGCAAGTCTTACAGGCAGCAAGTTTACTTGTAAACTAATCTGTGAGGCCCCAGGCTTGGAGGCTAGTGCTGTTTTCTCACATCTCTTTATGAACTCTTCTGTTGGTCCTATTCCTTGCTCTGGTGCTAATTGAGAGTACTGGTGTTAGATTTTCTTCTAAAAATTAATGGTCTCACCTTTGTCAACTGTATCTTATTGTTGGTCTGTCTTCTATGGTACAGTTTACTTCAACAGAAAAAGATAATGGCAGCTCATCGGTACCAAATCATATTGCAGCCCTCTGCAGTAAAAGAACTGTTCGTCTGTGAGGCGTGATAGTTTTATGGGCTGGGGAAGGAGGATTAGAGAAGGTACACTTAAAAGATGAGAATTTCTTGTCATCCTAATATTTTCTTTAAGAGGCCTTGATTCCACTGGAGTAGCTTTACTGATGAATTTCATCTTTCCCCCTCTGTTTAGAAAAGCATTCATATTTCATGTCCAAAGGAAAATGCATCTTCGAAGTTTTTGGCACCATGTACTACTTTTCCCAGAATTCATGCAAAGAGTGTAAGTATTTTGAGAAAATGTAATAGCATGTTAATTTTTCATTTTATCTGCTTGTCTAGTGCTATGAATGTTTTCATAATTAATGTCTTCCATTTACTTTGCATTGTAAGATAATACAGCTGATGAAGTGTGAAACGTTTGGCAAAATTGGTACTTGGGTCTACATAGAATGTGTATATGCTCACTAGTAATCTTAGAGAAAGGAATTGTGTGAAATTTCCTTGTACATATTATAGCAGAACTACTTACCACCTTTTGGATAGTGATGATAGTAGCTGATGTTTGCATAATTTGCCACTGTCGTATTTCTGTTCCTTTTTGCCAACAGGACGTTTTCTCAAAATTCCAGGTACAACATATTGAAGAATAATTTTCTTTCCTTTTTTTAAAAAAAAGATTGACACCTGAGCTAACATCTGTTGCCAGTCTTCTTTTTTTGCTTCTTCCCCCCAAAGCCCCCCAGTGCGTAGTTGTATATTCTAGTTGTAGGTCCTTCTGGCTCTACGATGTGGGACGCTGCCTCAGCATGGGCTGATGAGTGGTGCTAGGTCTGCACCCAAGATCTGACCTGGTGAAACCCTGGGCCACCGAAGCGGAGCATGAGAACTTAACCACTCTGCCATGGGGCTGGCCCCCGAAGAATAATTTTGAAAAGACTTTGTGATAAAGACCTTTCTACTACCATGATGTTTTTGTAAGCAAAAGTGAGAAAGAGGTGGATAAACTGATTATATTAAAGCCTTCCACTTCTTATTGTGTGGTATTATTTTTAAAAATAGCTATTTTTTACCCTTATTGCAAAACAAATATATGTTTAGTGATGAAAATTTAGGAAATATAAAAGAAAGTGAAAATCAGTCATACTTCTACAACCTAAAGATAACTGTTGTGAACTTTTGTTATATAGCCTTTATTAATAATAATCATAGTGGTAATAGCTAATATTTATTCATTGCCCTACTATGTGCCAGCACTGTGCTGAGCTTTACATATCGTTTTGCTTGAACCTCTCAATATTTTTTTAAAAAATATTTTACCAAAATATATGTAAATATTTTACTGAAATAGGTTTTTACAGTACATGCTGTTTTATAACTTGCTTTTTATTCCTTAATAATATATTATGTACCTCATTTTATGTCATCTTTCTCTGTATTCTTTTAGGAGCTGTATAGTGTTCCACCCTATGACTTTACTATAATTAGTTTCTCCAGTCTCATATTACTGGACATTCGGGTGTTTCTGATTTCATATTTTGATGATATACTTATAGCTAACCCTTTGCTCACAAAAATAGGAAGAGGTTAGAATGCATTTATAAAAGTAGAATTGCTGAGTCACAGGTAATGCAAATTATAAGGCTTTTGGTGTGTTCTAACTGACCTTCATTTACCTGATTTGTTGAGTCACCCACTGCTCTGCATTTCCTCTGTAAAAGGTACTGACTGATGCCACAGCATGTTTGCAGCTCAAGCTCTTCCCGGAGGTCTGAATACTCTGACACTGCCGGTTAAGTCGAATGCTTACCGAGGATCAGTTACAATGCCAGTTATATTATTTTTGAAATTATGTTAATTAATTAAATATGTTAAACCAATGAAATATGAGTGTGAAAAGGCAGAGAGTGATTATTTGAAAACTAACTTAATTTCTTTGTAAAGACTTGGTAAACATGGGCTGCTATTATATTATGTGTAGGCAAGATAAATGCAAAATGTTAGGGAAAAGATTGAAAGAAGCACTAGATGAAGTTTTGCTCTTAAACTGCTTTGTAAGTGTGAGTAAAGATTTGCCTTTAAAGAAACTGGAAGTTGTAAATTGTGCCTTTTGGTTATAGTTTATTATAAGAAAGTCAAGGTGAAGCTTCTTTGTAGTAATCAGTGGACTAATGAAAAGATTAGTGAATTTTAATGTACATTTATTTATTTGAGTTAAAGTAAAATGTAGGTATTTGTGTATCATTTTTTATTATTTTCTACTTTTTTTAATTTTTTTTAACTGAATTTTTTGATTATTTGACCTACCACTGGGCCCTATCAATTGACTAAAAGGGCTTTTTACTGTATTGCTTTTCTGCCAGCCTGACTTCATACACTCTGCCAATACTGGATATTAGAATTTTTTCTTAAGTTTTACCAATTTGAGAAATGGTATTTCTTTGTTAGTTTAATTTACGTTCCTTTGCTTAATCAAGGGTTGACCACTTTTTCATATATTTTTTGGCTGCTCTTCATGTCATTTGCTGATTTTTCTAAGTGTGGATGTTTTCTTTATTGGTGGGAGCTCTTCTTGTATTAAGGGCATTGATCCCTTGCCCTGTATTTTTCAGATAGTTTTTTCTAGCTTATTTTTTACTGTTAAATTTGTTTATAGTGTCTTTTGACACACAAATATTTAATATTTCTGGATAATAAGACCTATCAGTTTATTCCTTTATGGTAACTGCCTTTGGGGTCCTGCATAAAGTAGTCCATGAGTTTATATATATTCACTTTTAATTGTATAGCATAATGTATAAGAGCAGATTCTAAAGACAAACTCATTGGATTTGACTTCTTGGATTCAAATTTCGGTGGTTCTGCCATTTACTGACTGTGTGACTTTGGGCCAGGAACTTGACTTCCCTGTGCTGCAGGTTCCTTATCTGTAAAATTAATATTTAATATTTATCTCTTAGGGTTGTTATGAGGATTCAAGCAGTGAGAATTGAATTTGGAACATAGTAAGCACAATATAACTGTTAAATAAAATTATACATACAATATTTTCTTTGTTTTTTTTGTTTGTTTTTTTTTTTACATTTCAAGCTTTATTTTTGTTATTTGGTTTGAAGTAGGGATATAACAATTCTTTTTGAAATGATTAGTAAGTTGCAACCTTAGGAGGTAATCCATCCTTTATCTCACTGACTTGAATTGTCATCTTTATGTAGGGTTGTCCCATTGATCTGTCTGTTTTTTTGCTGTGACTAGGGAATACATCTTTAGCTTTAAACTCTGACCTAGGTTTGTATCCTGGCTCTGCTATGTCACCTTGGGGAAATTACTTAATCACCTCTTAAACCTCAGATTCCTCATCTGAAAAATAGGAATAATACCTATCTTATAGATTTTTGGGGGGATTATAGGAGAGTAGTGTCTGTTACATGTCTGGCACATAATAACTATTCAATAAATGTTAGTTCCCTTTCCTCTTTTTCTTAAATAAAAGTTTGGAGGAAGGAGACAGCTGGTATGACCTATAATCTGCTCTTCAGTGTCCTATCACTTTGAAAGAAATGGATAGTTCTGACTTAATTACTTTTTAGGTCTGGGACCTAGGGCCCCAGAGATATGTAACACAGATAAATAACATAATATCCCTGTCCCCTCCAGGGACAGCATATTAACTGAGAGGATATAGTACGATACGTCAGTTTCTCAGCCTTGGCACTATTGACATCGTGAGCTGGATAATTCTTTATTGTAGGGGTCTGTTTTATGCACTGCAGGATGTTTAGCAGCAACCTTGGCCTCTACCTACGAGTTGCCAGTGGGACATTACCCCCAGCTGTGTCAACTGAAAATGTTTCCAGACATTGCCAAATATCCCCTCAGGAACAAATTCACCCCTAGTTGACGACAGCTACAATATATGAACATAGTGCTGAAAACCACTGGGGGAGAAAGTGATGAACTCCTTGGGAGAGTTGGGAAAACCACTCACCTTTTGAGAAGTGGGTCTTTTTTTATAAATCATTAATTGTGCCCCTTTTCTATTTCTTATTCGAGCTCATTATTAGGTGATTCATCAATTTATTGATCACCTGCTATGTTCCTGGTATTCTGGGCACTGGAGCTGTAGCAATGAATAAATCTGTGGTGTAGAGCTTACATTCTGGCAGTGTGGGGCCAGACAGGATTTGCTAGTGACTTGGATGTGAGATGTGAGAGAAAATGAGTTGGGATGATGCCTAAAATCATGGCCTGAGAATCGGGCAAATTGTGGTGCCATTTATTAATTGGGGGACAAGTAGTAGTATTGGTATGGAGTAATGGGACTTACAAGTTCTGTTTCTTACATGTTAAGTTTGAGGTGTCTGGTATAAAGCCAAAAGTCTGCTTAGCAGACGGTCAGATAAATGCCACCTGAGTCAGGAAAGAGGTTGAACCATGTTGTTTTAGGGATTAAATTGATTTCAGAGTGAGTAGGAAAGTGTTTAAATATGTCTTGTTTCTGGGGTCCTGCTAATAGAGACAGTAGTTGGTCTTGTTGATACAAGTCAGATGACTTTACTTTCCTACCTAGTGTTGATGAGATACTTCATCTCTGTTCTCAAACTGCTATCATTTGGTATTTGTTGAATAGTTACTATGTACATAGCCTGTGATTTGTGGAAGAAATTCCTGAACATAGTTCTGACACTTAAGAGCTCATCATGTAGTTGGGGAGCCAGATATAGAGTTGAAAGAAGTTAATTGACAGTACCAGCCGTCAGAGTTAAGGTCCAGGATTAGGGTGGTAGCAGTAGTGTTGAAGAAGAAATAGATCTGAGAGAGATGTTTCCTACACTAGAATGTGAAGGCAGGGCTATGTCAAATTTACCTCACCACCCAGTGATGGGAAGCTAGGAGCAGAATGGGATTATTATGAGATCAAATGATATAATGTATTTGGAAATGTTTTATGAATGATAAAACATGATAAAAAATGTTAATTGTTGTCATAATCCTTAAAATTAAAGGATCTATAATTAACAGTCTTTTTATTCTGAGGAACCAAATTAAAGAAAAAGTCTTAGAAAGTGTTTGAGTTGACCCACTTATCCCTTTAGTTCTTGCCAAACCTATTGATTATGGTATAATTGGCATAGAACAAAGTAAAATGGAGGCTTGATAATTAAAGCAAAAATCCCTACTTTTTCTATAATAATTTAGGTCATATGGGAATCATTGTTGCTGGGAATATGTCTGGGATTATATATCTCAGTCTTGCATTTCTGGAATATTTGTAACTGGATGTTTTTTAATAAGTGTATGTATGCCTGTGTATGAAGGAGACTTGGCATTCTGATCATGGCTTATGCGTGGAGTGATTGTTAGCATTGAAATTGTGTAAGAGAATCTGAGAATTCTCTGTTACATATTCTGAAATACGAACACACACACTCTTAGGATTTTACAGAGGGAATGTAAAGCAGTCAGTTGGAAGCATCTTTGCTTCCATGAATTCTTCTGGTGCATCTTGGAAGACTGTCTTTTGTGTAAGTGGGTTCATAAGAATTAGGAGAGGTATCTTAATTTTAAAATAAAATAGCAAAAGATGGAAACTATGGAAATGATATGAGGATAGGGAAAACTTTTTAGTTAAGGCAGGAGACTATAGATGAATACAAGAATATCTTTTTGTTTTGAGAAATAGAAGATGTTGGCTCTAGCCTTGTTGGGAGATTGGTGAGATAACTCAGCCTTCACAGGAAACACATGTCCTTTGTGTTGGGACTTGAAGAAGTCTTAGAGAAGTGTGAAGTGGGGGGTGGGGGGGTTGTGACATATTTCAAGGGAAGAAGAGCGTTTCACTGTTTGTAACACTGATTGTTTTGTCTTTTGAACAGGTGACATGCCTGGACATTTCTAGTGGAGGAGGCCTTGGTGTATCTTCTAGTTCTGATGGGAGCATGAAGATCTGGCAAGCTTCCAATGGAGAGCTCAGAGTAAAGACTTTGATTATACTTTAGGTCTTATGCTTGAAGGGTGGTCGGAGAAACTTTAGACTGGGTCGTGAAAAGAAGAGTGGCCCATTCTAAAAATGTAGGACCACTGCACTTCAGTTGATCTTTGCTCTCCCATTTGTTAATGTAAGAACCATCCTCAAGCTTGGTGATTTGCCAGAATAAATTGGGGCTGGAACTGTGGAGGAGGCAGGCCAGTGAATGTCTTAACTGGTGATCCCTTTGTATGAGCTGCCTTCAGTTATCAGTTTCTAGGAGAGAGTAGCTAGGCTATTACACTGATTCTATGGCTGAGGCCCCCAGCCTGTACAGAGGATTTTAAGAGGTAAGTAAAAGAGTCCTCAAGCCTCCTCAGCTCCTTATGTATAGAACTAGGCTTAGGGATGGCTGTGAAAGCTGTGGAGTTCCAATCCACAACATTTGTAGCCAAAACCCAGGAAAGGGAACCAACAATCTTAGAATACTACCTTGTAGACAGATGAGCTAAAGAGATCCTTCGGACCTCTTTAATTTTAAAACCCAGCATGTGGGTGTAGCATGTAGATATTTCATTTAAGGCACTAAGGATATGGGAGGTAAGAGAACTCAAGGGATGGACAAGAGAACTAGCGTGAAATTTTCTTTTGTTTTTCCAGAGAGTATTGGAAGGACATGTGTTTGATGTGAATTGTTGCAGGTTTTTCCCATCAGGCCTTGTGGTTCTGAGTGGGGGTATGGATGCCCAACTGAAGATCTGGTCAGCTGAAGATGCTAGCTGCGTAGTGACTTTCAAAGGTCACAAAGGAGGTATGAGTGGTGATTTCGCCAAAAGACTTCTCTAATCAGCCCCAGAGACAAATCACCAGGAAGACAGAAACAGAAGCCACTTATCCACAAAAACACAAATCATTCATCCAACTGGCCATTTAAATGAGCTGCTATTTCTCCAAGGATTAGAAATTCCTTTGTTACTCAGTCTTGTTATTGCTGTCTAAAACTAACTGCCTTACACAGAAGTTGTTTTCCACAATTGATAAAGGAAAAAGTCCTCCCTAGGAGATCATCTACTTGTGTGCTGGGGAAAAAAGAGAGGAGAGGTATGCCCACAGTTTCTCATTATTAGTCCTTTGGCTGAGGTGACAGTAGAAGCTGGGTAGCAAATGGCTGCATCATCAGACATCAGAGATAGAGCTTACTACTGACTGTTGATTCCCATGGCTTTAAATCACAGTTCAGATTTTAAAAGTGGATTAGACAGGGGCCAGCACAGTGGCATAGTGGTAAGTTTGCACGCTCTGCTTTGGTGGCCCGGGGTTCGCAGGTTCGGATCCTGGGCCCGGATGGACCTACGCACTGCTTATCAAGTCATGCTGTGGCAGGCGTTCCACATATAAAATAGAGGAAGATTTGCACAGATGTTAGCCCAGGGCCAGTCTTCCTCAGGAAAAAGAGGAGGATTGGTGGCAGATGTTAGCTCAGGGCTAATCTTCCTCACCGAAAAAAAGGATTAACCATGTAACCAATTGATAGCAGACTATAGGGACAGAATGAGAACATCTTCCCCTTGTAACTGATTGGTTGGTTTTTTGGGAAAGAACTATAATCTGAAGATATTTTATCCTTAATTGGAATGTTAAAAAGGTGATAAATATGTTATTCTTATTTTACAAGTTTGGATATTTTTGAAAATCTAATAACATTCCTAGGTAATTCCTTACCTTGATCCCTCCCTTGGAACCATAACGCATATCATCTATATTACTCATTTGGAAATTATGTATTGTTGTGTACTTATGGTATTTGCCTTGTGTACCTGACTATATTATAAATAACTTGCATATAGAAATTCAGTTTTAAGTTTTAATATTTCTTTATATTGATTTGCCATATTACATACAGATCATCTAGCAAACGCATGTGTTAACCTTAGCAAATGAATGCCTTACTTCTAAAACTGTGAGTATGTAGGTGCACTGAGAAGGAATAGAAAGGACATTTGGAGCCTTCCTCACGTTCAGCATGAAGAACTGACAGGTCTAAGGAGTCAAAGCGTCCTGCACAGTTGGGGAGTCCAGGAGCCAAAGGAGTCTAGAGGAACACTGAAGGATTCACCTCAGATCTGGCCATCCTTCTGAGTGTGTGAGGCATGGGGAAACTTTCCAATGGAACAAGGCATGACTGTGCATGTTGAACTTAATAAGATGCATATTCAACGTCAGTGCACAATCAGCTTAGGAATACCTTTGGATTACTGCAGATACTGAGTGTGCCCTCCACATAAATCCTAATTCTCCCAGCCTTCTTCCCTGCTTCTTAAGAACACGTGTCACTTAGCTTAGAGTGAATTACACAGTGTTTGTTAATCTGATTTAAGCTTTTAAAGATTTTTTTTTTTTTGCTTTTTCTCCCCAAAGCCCCCCGGTACATAGTTGTATATTCTTAGTTGTGGGTCCTTCTAGTTGTGGTTTGATGAGTGGTGCCATGTCCACTCCCAGGATTCAAACCGACGAAACACTGGGCCACCTGCAGCGGAGCACGCAAACTTAACCACTCGGCCACGGGGCCAGCCCCAGATTTAAGCTTTTATTCATATAGTTGTTCCATTCTTTTGGCCTTGTGAGAAAGTCCTGGGAGAGGGGTGGGGGCTTCTCCAGAGTATAAGGAGGAGAGTTTTTATTATATTGAACAAAAATGATAAACTTTAGGAGAAATGACATGAAGTCAGATCCAGGCTGACATTTGTCAGGTCTTGGATGCTCCTCTCCAGTTAGTTCTGTAAAGTAGCCCTGGGTTTGGGGCTGCCCATTCTTCTACAGTACAAAGCAAAAATCAAGATTAATCTCCAATAGCTTAGCAGCATTTCTGTCACTCTGGCCAAATGACTTCCAAGTTGCTTTGTGTCTCCTGTTTTACAATATCTTTAGTTATGAGATTTTGAAGCATTTTATTAACGAAAGCCATGAACCACATAAAAACAGAGTAAAGAATTATTACCTGCATTTGTGATCCTTAGTGGTTTCACAAGTGGTGACTAAATAAGAGAAGCAGAAGATAATAAGTGTTGAAAGCGAACATGGCCTTTTATTGCCTAGAGTAAGTCTTGGCAAGCAAGATATAAAAGAAAACACCAGGAAGACTGCACTGAACCTAGTCTGATGCTTATTGCATTAGGACACTAATAAAGTAGCTCTGTATGAAGATCTGTTGTAAAGGATAACCTTTTGTTAGCTTAATTAAGTCCCTGGCTTGCTTACAGCTTCTAGTATATGAAAACATGATAATGGGGCCGGCCTCTGGCCGAGTGGTTGAGTTCACACACTCTGCTTTGGCGGCCCAGGGTTTCGCTGGTTCAGATCCTGGGCATGGACATGGCACCGCTCATTAGGCCATCTTGAGGTGGCGTCCCACATACCACAACTAGAAGGACCCACAGCTAAAATATACAACTAGGTACTGGGGGAGATTTGGGGAGAAAAAACAGAAAAAGAAAAAAAAAGAAAACATAATGATACAGTAGACTGGGATTTGGAGACATACAAATCTTGGTTTAAATTTTAATTCTTCCACTTACAATCTGTGTGACCTTGGAAAGTTGCTTAACTTTTCTGAACCTTAATTTCCTCAGATGTAAAATGGAGATAGTAGTATTAAATGAGATGATGCATATGAAGGATTTAACATAATCCCTGGTATATAATAAGTGCACAGTAAATATTATTATTGTTCATATAAAATATAAAACTAAATTTTAATTTCTGCCAGGAAAGGTGAGCCTTATGTTTTAACATACTTGTCAAATGTGAAAAGCGGAAATTGTTATTTCTGATAGAGTAGACATTTTCCAGTGGAAACAAATATGACCCTAGATAATATGTAACTGATCTTCCCTAATACTTTTGGATACATATTTTATATATAATTAAAGGATTAGTGTGTTTTTTACTTAATTAACATGCAGAGGTAAGATTTGTGTATGTTTCTAAATCTTTCCAATGAAAAGTTGAACTAAAAGTAGTTTTGTGTTTGTAATATATGAGTTTACTAAGTAGCTCTAAAGTGTACTTTAACCAGTTTGAAATTTTCAAATTAAGGTTGGTGGATTTGGAGGTATATATTCATAATACTAATTCTTTGTAATAAGGACCAGATCTTTCATAATCTGAAAACTTTTAGACCAAATGAAACACCATTTCAGTTGATTGGTTGAGGGTTTTTTGGCTCACTAGAGTAGGAAAGATGCTTACATTTGTAGAATAATTTTAAGAAACTAGGTTGCATTTTCAGCACTTGGGCTATTATTTTCCAGCTTTTTTTTTTCTTGAAGATTGGCACCAGAGCTAACATCTGTTGCCAATCTTCTTCTTCTTTTTTTTCCTTTTCTCCCCAAAGTCCTCCCCCTACCCTGCCCCCTACATAGTTGTATATTCTAGTTGTAGGTCCCTCTGGTTGTGCTATGTGGGACGCCCCCTCAGCATGGCCCAACAAATGGTGTGAGGTCTGTACCCAGGATCCAAAACAGTGAAACCCTGGGCCACCAAAGCAGAGCGTGCAAACTTAACCACTTGGCCATGGGGCCAGCCCCTTCAAGCTCTTATATACTTTCTTTGAAATAGGATATGCTGCCTCCAAGTAATACTAGGTGCTTCAAGGTTCATTTTTTTCTGAGATCTGAGAAACAGTCGTTAGTTTTCCCATGTACACATATGTATCTTGCTCCCTAGCAACATTAAAACAGCTTAATAGTAAAACTAGATAATTTTAACAGAGGAAATGTGTTAAAAAACATGTCTAGAAATATGAAATTTGCTCTGTTTCTTCCTAATATTGATCTCAGTCATAGTTTCGTCTAACGTTGTTCTTATTTCCCAGACTTTAGCTAGGATGTTTATATGTGATGCAGCTGAATCTTTTCTTGAAGGCAAATACTTTTTGATCTTGTTTCTTTGTTGAGGACTTGTATCTGTTTGGTTTGGTATCTAAAGTCTTTGCAGCTTCTGGTAGGTCTTAGCTGTGGCTGCTTCTGTTACAAAGGCATTCCTGCTACTTTCATAGCTTTTTTCTAAAGTAATTCCTCATAAGTTCCTGCTCCTGTAGGACTCCTCTTTCTTTTATTCTTGTCATCTAAGAGTGAAGAGACCCACACTAGATGCCAATATATTGTGAGTGACATTTTATTAGAGAGAGGGTGATAATTTTCTACTCTACTTTTATAGAAAAAGGAAACTTTCTAGATGGCAGCTCTTTGCTAAGTGTTACTTGAAATTTGTACATAGTTAATACCATTCATAGCTCCCTAGCCACAGCCATAGCATCCTGCCTTGGATACTTTTCAGAACTATTTTTTTAAAAAGTTTGCGTTACTTCCATGGAACTCAATAACATTTTTAAATAGCAGTTAGAACTTGCCAATAAAGAGATAAACAGATCTTTGATTGCTTAATAAGAGCTGAAGGCCCTTCCTAATGTTCCTATTGGTGATTCCTTGAGATTCTTAAAAAATCTAAAATCTTTTTCTAGCTGGTTTATGCTGAATGTGTTGTGGAGATAGAGTGGAAAGGTGGATTTTCCAAACTCAGAATACTTTGCCGTTACGAAATATGTTGTAAATAAGAAACATAAAATAGCAGCAAAACATATTGCCTCGTTAGATCTGTTTCTGAGAGGAAGGTTACCTTAAAAACCTTGTCTAAAGTGGCTTTTATCCAGTGGATATATAATTGCAAGGATTACATTTTATTTTTCCAAAAACTATAGTTAGCTGTATAAATGGGATTTAGTTTTTATTTTAAGTTGGATGTATTTAGAAATTGACACTTGATTAGGTCCCACCTGAGTTGTCTCTAATCGTATTTGCTGACAGGCCCTAAGTTGGCTACTTTTTCAGTTTGTGGCATTTTCATAAACTCATCTTTTTCTGAAAAAAATTTTCAAAGTGAAATTTCCACTAAGAATTGAGGCATGTGGTTACTTGCGTGGGTCATCCATCATCTATTCCTTATGTTGAGTTATCCTGTAGAGTTTTTGTCAAGATTTGTATATCTCAAGTCATCCTTACCTTGAGAGGAATGGGAGCAAGCCACAGATCACTAACCTGACCTTCAGTCAGGTACTCTTATTCTCAATCTGCAAGTGTTTATGGGGTGCCTATAATAGAATCAGTAAGTGGGTTTTAAGAAAACAAGTGCTAGCCCTGCCTGTGACACCATAGGGTCGGAATACCTTTTACTCTGTACAGTCCTGTGTTAGCACATATTTGCCACTTTATTCTAACTCTTTATGTCCATGACTATCTCTACCTTTTAATGCTGTGTGCTTCTGAGGCTAGAGCCCATAGCATATATTCAGATAACAGGTAATAAAGGGCTTCAAAGGGGCTGGCCCCATGGCCGAGTGGTTAAGTTCGCGCGCTCTGCTGCAGGCAGCCCAGAGTTTCGTTGGTTCGAATCCTGGGTGCGGACATGGCACTGCTCATCAAGCCACGCTGAGGCAGCATCCCACATGCCACAACTAGAAGGACCCACAACGAAGAATTTACAACTATGTACCGGAGGGCTTTGGGGAGAAAAAGGAAAAAATAAAATCTTTAAAAAAAATTATAAAGTCTGTGGACATTTTGGATATTGTAACACTCTGGATCTTATTTGTCAAGGTATGGTACAGGGGCCTGATAGATGTGTGTGCTCAGCTTCCTGCTGGGCTCCTCTAACACTACTCTGGTGAAAGGGGAGCACTGGCTCACACTGCCTCTGCAAACTGATGAGATGTGACCTCAGCTTCCCTCTTGGCACCGCTGACCCCCTCCTGGTGAAAGTGGGGCACTGACTTGTACCACCTCAACTTGCACCACCTTCTTGCCTTCAGGTGGACTTGTAAGCTCAGTTTCCTGCTGACAGCAGGGGAGGGGATGAAGGAAGTGTAGGCTCAGTTCCTGGCTGACTTGACACCAGTGGTGGGAGCTGGAAGAAGTGGAGTACTACCTCCCACCACCTCGTTCTGGTCAATGCTGGTCAAGTCACTGGAGTGGGGAGGAGTTGGAGTGCTGCCTCCTGCTTCCATGGGGGGTGAAGTAGAAGATTACTTCCTCTTCAGCCCCGCTGAAACCTTAGGGGAGGGGAGGTAGCAGTTTTTCTGTAACTGTTTGAGTAAGGTGAATATTACCAAAAAAATTTTCTGTTCTGTTAGGCCACCCATTTCCCAGTCTTTTGCCTAGGGGCAATAGACTTTCCTGGTGTTTTTTTGTTTGTTTTCTTCATCTGTGCCTGTCTTTATCAGTTCCATGTTGGAGGCTTCCGCAGTGTCCTGTCCAGGATATATGGGAATGTTGGGGAAATCCAGGGAACTCATTGCCCTGTTGCTCTTCCAGTCCTGAGGTTCCTAGGTGGTCTGCCTTCTTTTTTCATTTTCCAGCCTCCTATGCTTGTTTGTTGTGTTATGTCCAGGTTTTTTAGTTGTGAGGGGAAAGACCTGGGAGGAATAGGGCTACTCCATCTTGGCCAGAGCAGAAGTCGCATCCTTTTTTAAGATGGGGAAATTAACCCATTCAATTAGTTCTCAATGGATCTTGTAAGACAGTGATTTTCAAACTGAACTCTCTAAGATGTCTGCTTAATTTTTACTTAAAAAACAGGTTTTAAAAAATAAAACTTGGGGGCCGGCCTGGCGGCGCAGCAGTTAAGTTCACACATTCCGCTTCTCAGTGGCCCGGGGTTCGCCGGTTCAGATCCCAGGTGTGGACATGGCACCACTTGGCAAAAGCCATGCTGTGGTAGGTGTCCCATGTATAAAATAGAGGAAGATGGGCATGGATGTTAGCTCAGGGCCAGTCTTCCTCAGCAAAAATAGGAAGATTGACAGTAGTTAGTTCAGGGCTAACCTTCCTCAAAAAAAAAAAAAAATTGAAAACCACTGCTGTAGAACACCCCACTAAAACTTAAATCCAAAGCTTCTTTTTCCATGGCTGTTTCTCACAGCTAGTCTTTGAACCGTAGGGAAGCAGGGACTCTCTTCTGTTTATTTCTGGTTTTCTAGCACTTGAACATGCCCAGCATGTAGTACATACCCAGTACATGTTTTTGAAGGAATGGAGTTATTTATGCAGCTCCATTTTCTCTGCCCTTGTAGTTCTTTTTTTTCCCCTTAAAAGATTGGCACCTGAGGTAACATCTGTTGCCAATCTTCTTCTTCTTCTTTTTTTTTTTTTTTTACCTTTGTTCTTCTTCCTAAAGCCTCCCAGTACCTAGTTATATATTCTAGTTGTAGGTCCTTCTGGTTGTGCTATGTGGGATGCCGCCTCAGTGTGGCCTGATGAGTGGTGCCATGTCCATGCCTAAGATCTGAACCCATGAAACCCTGGACCACTGAAGTGGAGTGTGCAATCTTAACTGCTCGGCCACGGGGCCAGCCCTGCCCTTGTAGTTCTTTTGCTACCTACTCCGTCTTACGGTCTTTTTTTTTGCTTGCCAGGTGTCCTAGATACAGCCATTGTTGACCGGGGGAGGAATGTGGTATCTAGTTCTCGAGATGGGACAGCACGACTTTGGGATTGTGGGCGCTCAGCCTGCCTGGGAGTCATTGCAGACTGTGGTTCTTCCATCAATGGAGTGGCTGTGGGTGCTGCTGACAATTCTATAAACCTCGGCTCCCCTGAGCAGATGCCCAGTAAGTTGATAATGATATGTGAGCTTATTTTGTTTCCTTAGGCCCCTTCAGGGTTTGTTTTAGTTTCTCCTTTTCTTCCTTGTCGTTTCCTGCTCTGTAGCTGGTATTTCTATTTTTCACCATAAGATTAATACTTATTGCATACCTATTATGTTTCTGTTGCTTTGGAATCTACAAAGGAAGTGTATGTCATAGTTACTGCGTTTGAGTAAGTGCAGTCTAATTTAGCAGATGAAACTAATGCCTGTAAAACAGAGAACACTAAGATTTTGGCTGAAGTAACTTAGTGATTCTTAACACAAATATAGTTTTTTGGAAGAAGTGAGTGTTTTAGGTTAGTATAGATGAGAAGGATGTCACAAAAGAAGATGACTTGAACCTTGAAGGATGGATTTGAGTTGATCAGACAAGAATGGGAAGGATAGGAGAATGGGGGCTGGGGCAGGGGATGGGGCAGTTCACATGAAAACAGCTTGGAGGTGAAATTGACTATTGGGTAAAAAGATGTGCTTGGCTGGGCCAGAGTTGGATTAAGAGTAGTAGTAATGGGAAATAGGTGAGTAGAATGCTGGCTCTGGTGAGTCAGAATGATAAAGGTCCTAATAAGGCACCTTGCAATCTTTTCTTATTTTCCCATGCTTATAACTAATACTTGCTTCTCTGTTTCCATAGGACTATTTTCTACCATCATCTTTGCCTCTCACATTTTTTTAAAAATATACTTTATATGTTAGAGCAGTTTTAAGTTCACAGCAAAATTGAGCAGAAAACACAGAGTTCTCATATACCCTCTACTCCCGCACCCACACAGCCTCCCCCATTATCAACATCTCCACCAGAGTGATACATTTATTACAGTTGATAAACTACATTGACACATCATTATCACTCAAAGTCCATAGTTTACATTAGGATTCACTCTTGGTGTTGTACATTTGATGGTTTTGGACAAATGTATAATGACGTGTCTGTAATTATACTATCATACAGAAGTTTTACTGCCCCGAAAATCCTCTGTGTTCTACCAATTTGTGAGTTGCTGCCACAACATGGTCGCCAGTGAGTGGCGGAGGTTTGTGCCCGGAAACCAAACCTGGGCCGCCAGAGCTGAGTGCATAAAACCTAACCACTAGGCCATCAGGCCAGCCCTTCTACCTTTAAATATTGGAAGGCCCTCCGCTCTAACTACAGTTTCTCCCTAGGTGTTCTCATCAGTTCCATGGCTTTAAATACTGTATTTAAGCTGGTGATTTCCAAAAGTGTATCTAAAATATAGACCTCTCTCCTGAGTTTCAGACTCTATTTAGATATCTAATAGTTAGCTTGAATTTACCTTGTCTAACATGGTGTGTTTGATTTACCCCTACCCCAAATCTGTTTTTTCCCATCTCAGTAAATGGCACCACAATCTACCCGTTTGCTCAAGCCCAAAGCCTGAGATTTATTCACCATCTACCTCTGCCTTTCCTCATGTCCCACATCAGCAAAGTCGGTCATCTCTACCTTCAGAGTGTTTCTAATGTTTCCACCTTGCCCTCTCCCTCCTACTCTTCCTCTTGTCAGCTTGCTGGTCCAGTCTGTCACCATCTGTTGCCTGTACTGTTCTCCTATAATCTGTTCTCCTCAGAGCAACCAGTGTGGTCATTAAAAAAAACATCCATTCATGTCACTCTCCTTTGTCCCTGGTGTCCTCAGTGGCCTCCTTCTATACATTGATTAAAATTCTAGGGGGCCGGCCCAGTGGCCTAGTGGTTAAGTTCAGTGTACTCCACTTCAGCAGCCCAAGTTTGGTGCCTGGGTACAGACCTACACCACTCGCCAGCAGCCACACCGTGGCAGCAACCCACATACAAAATACAGGAAGGTTGGCACAGATGTTAGCTCAGAGCAAATCTTCCTCAGCGAAAAAAAGAAAGAAAATCCTAACCCCTTACCGTGGCTTATTGCAAACCTTTACACTTTCTGACCCCTGCGTTCCTCTCCAGCCTCGTGTCATACTGCCTTCTGCCAGGCCCACTGTATTCCAGTACAGGCCTTCTGTTTGTTCTTTCAGCACAGCCTCTGCCAGCCTCCTGGCCTTTGCTTTGTTTTTCCCTTAGACTGGAATGTCCTTCCTGAAACTCTTCACATGACTGGCTTCTTGTTTACCATTCAGGGCTCAGTTGAAAAGTGGCCTCCCTGGAGGCTTTTTAAAGTTGAAATTTAAAGTTACCTTCCCCCACCTGTCTTCCCACTATCTACTCACTTTTGATCATATTTTCCTGTTTTATTCCCACTGTAGAACTTACCACGGTCTGAAAATATCCTACCTGTTTATTTACCTATTCCACTATTTCATATTTCCACTAGAATTTTTGAGAGTAAGGACCCTTGTTTGTACATCACTATTTCCTCAGCACCTAGCAGAATGTCTGATACATAGTAGACTCTTTTTTTTTTTCCCCTAAAGATTGGCACCTGAGCTAACAACTGTGGCCAATCTTCTTTTTCTTTTTTCCCCTGCTTTTTCTCCCCCAATCCCCCCAAAACATAGTTGTATATATTTTTAGTTGTGGGTCCTTCTAGTTGTGGCATGTGGGATGCCGCCTCAACGTGACCTAATGAGCAGTGCCATGTCCGTGCCCAGGATCTGAACTGGCAAAACCCTGGGCTGCCGAAGATGGAGCGTGCGAACTTAACCACTTGGCCACAGGGCTGGCCCTGATAGTAGACTCTTAATAAGTATTTGTTTAGTGAATGAATACTTCTAGACCATAAGAACCTTGAGGGCAGAGACTATTTTGTTCAACATTGTACCACTGTTCCTAGTATGGTATCTTGTCATGTTAAGTTGGGTTTATTGAGATATATTTTTTGTTTGTTTGTTTTTGTTTTTGTTTTTTTATGGCAGAAGGTTTTTTTAATTAAGATTATGATAGTTTACACCCTTGTGAAATTTCACTTGTACATTATTGTTAGTCATGTTGTAGGTACACCACTTCACCCTTTGTGCCCTCCCCCCACCCAGCCTTTCCCCTGGTAACCACCGATCAGTTCTCTTTGTCTATATGTTAACTTCCACCTATGAGTGGAGTCATACAGAGTTCGTCTTTCTCTGTCTGGCTTATTTCTCTTAACATAATTATTGAGATATATTTTACATATAGTAAAAGTCACCTTTTTAAATTGCATAGTTCTGTGAGTTTTGGCAGATGTGTACAGTCATGTAAAGAAATACCACAGTCAAGATATAGAACATAATAAGTGCTTTTTTAAATTAATAAGTGAATCATTAACAGTAATTCAGTAAACAGCCATCGGTATCTGTGCTTTCTGGGTATTGCCAGCTGATCAGCCCAGCCTGTTATTGACATAGCTCATCTGTCATGCAGGTGAACGGGAGGTTGGAACAGAGTCGAAAATGCTGCTGTTGGCCCGGGAAGACAAGAAACTTCAGTGCTTGGGACTACAGAGCAGGCAGCCGGCAAGTGGTTCCTCTAAGACCTTTGAATTCTAGGGCAACCTGGGTCACGCTGATTCTTAGAAAGCTGTTTTGGAAACATTTCTGCTTGCTCCCTGTGGTTACCTTTTGAGGAAGCTGCATAACAGGCAGTACAGAGTAGTGATTAAGAACATCAAGTTGGGATAAGGGCAACATCTAAATGCCAGCTCTCCCACTTAATGGCTATGACCTTGGATGGGTTCTTAACCTCTCTGAGCCTCAGTTTCCTCCTCACTAAACTGGGCATAGTAGGACTTACCTTGTATGGTTTTGTGATGAGGATTAAATGCTCTGCTGCTTTGTGATCTTTGATAAGTTACTCTCCTGGGCCTCAGTGTGCAGTATGTAGAATGATCAGGTTTCATAAATTTCCTTCTACCTCTAAGGCAACGTGAAGAAATTCTGAGTAAAGGACTCATGCTTCAGGGCTCTGGATCAATTAATGACCTGTCTTTTACAGAAGAATTAGTTGAATTTTCTTCCTTCATCTTCTGAGGTTTTGCTGGGCAGACTGTGCTCTTAATTAAACTCTATGGTCTCTGGGATTAGATTTTTTAAAATTTATTTCCAGCTCATGTCATCATCAGCCAGACAACTTTAATGATTTGGTTTGGCCACAGGCTTTGTATTTTCATTTCATCTCTTTACTTCATTGTGCTGGTAATGTTTCCATTTTCCAAGTTTGTTCCAGGAACATCATTATTGTTGATCATATTGCCTTTGCACTCTGAATTTCCATGCTGGCTTTTATTTCCAAAGGAAAATCAGGAGTTTGTTTTGTTTTGTTCTTTTCTTTCCTTTTTAGAACATTTGATGGAGAAATAATCAGTTTGAGCTAACATTAAATACAAATCTGATAATTTATTTTTTCAGGTACATAGGGAGAATTATGATTCTTTAAATTGCCACTTTATTTAAGCTTGTTTCTTTTCCTACAAAGTATCTCCCTTCAAAAGGTTGTTACAAGTGACATGAAGCAAAACTTAAATGTGTGAATTGCAAGTGTTTCTCAAACGGGGGTTGTAATGAAAAGAGGGGAAAAAGGGATTTTTGGTGTTGAGGATCCTATGAGTCAGTGTATTGAAGGATAATAGTTTGAAAATTACTACCTCAGAGTATGGTGTTATGTAAACTGCTTAAGTCCTCAGCCAACCTAGGTTCCTGAAATCTTGGGACTGCTTCCTCCTCAATTGTTGGTGAATGCTTAGTTTAGATTGAGAGTACTTCAAGGGGGAAGAAAAAAATATCTCTAAAAATGGTAAAAATTTTCCTTTTCTTGGTGCCTTTCTATTCCTGGAAACAAATTAATCTTTAAACAGCATTTTTGTCTCTACTTGTTCTCAGGTCTTCCTCTTTATTGGCTCAGATGCCTTCAACTGCTGTACTTTTCTCTCTGGCTTCTTGCTATTGGCTGGGACACAAGATGGAAACATTTATCAGCTGGATGTGCGGAATCCAAGGTGAGTCACCATTCATTTGCATGATGCAGGTCTTCTGCAGAGTGGAAATTTTTATTGGTGTTAACATTGATTAGCCTAGCGTATAGATGACTATTGAATCAAGGGTATATTTTTCCATTTATAAGCATTTTCCAGTGTGAATTGTCTGATCTTATTGTTCCTGGAATCGTATTAAAAGGTAATTTGATAAACAAACACATGGATAAAGAGAACAGTTTAGTGGTTACCAGAGGGGGAGAGAGTCGGGGCATGGGCACAAGGGGTGAAGGGGCACATATGTATGGTGATGAATAAAAACTAGACTATTGCTGGTGAGCACGATGTAGTCTATACAGAAGCTGATATGTAATAATGTACACCTGAAATTACACAATATTTTATACCAATATAACCTCAATAAAATTTTTTAAAAGAGGGGAAAAAATAAGTAAATAAAAGATAATTTGATTTATACTGTCATGATTGTCCTATCTTAGTGATTGCTTTGGAAATTAAGCTTAAATAATGAACTAACATTTCACTTAAAATGATTGTGTGGAACTTTTAATCTTAAGGAGCTCAGTAATTTTCTCTATGATATTAGGTCTGGGTTGACCTAAGATCAATCATTTTTAGTTCAAGTAAGCAGCTCTGTTTATTTAGCTTTTCATACCTGTCTAAAACAGGCCTTACGCTGATCTTAAAGATACCCAGAGAGAATCATACAACCTCTCTGTCCTAGGATTTAACAATTTCTACAACTCTGTCCCTTCCTCCTTCTATTTCTTTCCTTTGTTCACCTGATATTTATTGAATGACTTCTGTGGGCACCAGGCTTTGTACAGGGCACTGAAAAACAGAAATAAAAGATACAGACTCTGCCTTTGGGGCCCTTGGAATCTAACAGTAAAGACAGACAAGTAAAAGACTGTTGTGATGCAGTGTGATCAAGTGGTCTGACAGGACTATACACAGGAATTTGAAGAAGCACTGACAAGGAGAGGGAAGAAGGTGAGACTGCTTCTCCAAGGAAATGGGGCTTTAATTGGCTCTTGTCCAGTGGAAGTTACCGAGTAAAGAGGAAAAGGACCTGCCCTCAGTAGCACAGCATAGAGAGAAACATGGAACACTCCTCACTGCTGCCCTGTCTGACAAGTATATACCCTTCGGGCGGGGCAGTGGGGAGAAGTGATCCCAGACAGGAAAACAGGAGTTTGCTTAGAAAGAACTTTCAGACTGCTCTCAGGAGTTTCGACTTTGTTCCAAGAGCAGTGAAGAAATTCCAGCTACAGAGTGACTAGCTTGTGCCTTTTCTTCTATAATCTGTTTCTTTACTTTTGTACTTGTTTTTGCCTCCATGGAGATAGGGAATCTCTGGCCCCTATTGTAAAATCACCCTTGGGTGATTTGGCTGGCCCCATGGCTGAGTGTTAAAGTTCCATGCATTCCGCTTCTGCAGCCCAGGTTTGCGGGTTCGGATCTTGGGCATGGACCTACTCTACTCATCACCCATGCTGTGGAGGCATCCTGCATACAAAATAGAGGAAGATTGCCATGGATATTAGCTCAAGGCTAGTCTTCCTCAAGCAAAAAAAAGAGGAAGATGGGCAATGGATGTTAGCTCAGGGTGAATCTTCCTCACCAAAAAAATAAAATCACTCTTACATATTTTTAAATTAATTCTCACTCATCTTTCTTTTCGTTTTACAGAGTCCTGACAATTTTAATATTTCATAACTGTCTTAATTCTGTCTATAAGTAAAAAAGATTAACGTATTATTAACATTGGTATCTTAAAAGCTTGCCAGACGTTCCCATAAAACTGGAAATATTGGTAGTGACTTAGTTCATTCAGTTCAATGACACGTTTAGATTCACTCCAAGGTAATTTTACTATTTTTTTTTAAAGCTTGGCGCTGAGCTAACATCTGTTGCCGATCATTTTTTTTCTTCTTCTTCTACCCAAAGCCCCCCAGTACATAGTTGTATATTGTAGTTGTAGGTCCTTCTAGTTCTGCTACGTGGGGTGCCGCCTCACCGTGGCTTGATGAGTGGCACTAGGTCTGCACCCGTGTTCCGAACCAGTGAAACCCTGGGCGGCTGAAGTGGAGCACACGAACTTAACCACTCAGCCACGGGGCTGGTCCCAACTCCAAGGTGATTTTGAATTGCCTTAATCTACTATTTAAAGATCTTGCCGGGAAAGAAACCGTATAAGGGTCTAATCTCTGTCCACATTTGTCCTGTTTGCTTTTATATGCTAAGTACTATATGTTGAATATAGTTTAGTGTTGCTTTTGAAGAAAAAAAAAGTAAAATTGCTCCTTTTACCCTGAATCCTAGGACTCCAGTGCAAGTCATGCACAGATCAGGAGCACCAGTTCTGTCCTTGCTGAGTTTCAGAGACGGATTCATTGCTAGCCAAGGTGGGTTTAGGGGCCATTTAAGAGAGATGGTTCCATGTAGTTCAATTAAACATGGATTTAAGTGTCTGGTCTATAGCTGGGCTAGGGGTATGGACCTCCGTGATTCTTTGGTATATTGTATATTGTATAAACACTATGTGGAAAGTGTAATTGTCTATGTCCCCCTCCAGTCTAGGCTCCTTGAGAGTAATGACTGTGCCTTTTTCATTGTGTCAACCCCAGCATTTAGCTCAGTGCCCACTATATGGTTGGTGCTCAATAAACATTGGTAGAGTAAATGTATTGGCCTTTATTGCAAAATGTTGAGGATTCAATAATGAATCAGTTACAGTCTCTGCCCTAAATGAGCTGTTAGTGAGGCAGACAGGCATATAGACATGTGATTAAGTACAGTTTGATAAGTATTGCAGCAGAAAACTATATGAGAACATGGAGTAAAGCTAACTCTAGTGGTAGGAATGCTACAGGGACATCTTCATGGACTAGGTAACATATAAGCCAATGACTGTTTTGTAAAGACGAACATTGAAGGCCAAAGTCATAGTGTGTGCAAAGTCTTAGATGAGGGTAGAGGGGCAAAAAGAAGGGATCTATCATTTACTAGGTGCCTACTATGGGGTAGATACTGTGTGTGATGCTTTACATATGTAGTCTAGCTAAAGTGAGTACCTTGGTGTAGCCAGGACAAAATATTTGGAATGGAGTTTGGGAGTGGAGTTGGGGGAAATGCATGGAACAAGGTGCCCATTAAGGGACACTGTGAGTCCTCACAGGAATGATGTAAGTGAAGAGGACTGGACTGGACGACCTGGAGGGACCACCTTACCTGAGTATTTCAGTGTGGGAGTTAGGATATTTTGGCTGTTTTGGGCATGGAACAACACCACTCATCTGTCAGTAGCCATGCTGTGGTGGTGGCTCACATAGACGAACTAAAAGGACTTACAACTAGAATATACAACTATGTACTGGGGCTTTGGGGAGGGAGGAAAAAAAGGAAGATTGACAACAAATGTTAGCTCAGGGCGAATCTTTTCCAGCAGAAACAAATAATAACAATAAAGAAATAAATAAAAGCTTTAGCAAGGAAAAAGAAGTAAAATCAAGGACCCAGCTTTTTTCCATCCTTTGATGCTCTCCTCCCTAGCATGCTGGCTTTTGTCTTCAAGCTTGTTCCCTCATGGTCACAGCACAAGATAGCTGCAGCAGCTCTTATCCTCACGTAGCAGTGGATACTGCTATCCTTTCTATGAATGAGGAAAATTTCCTCAGGAGTAGCACAGCAGACTTACTGTCATACCTCATTGACCAGAATTATAATACATGCTCCTGCCTAAGCAGTAACCAACAAAGGGAATGGAATCACCATAATTGGGTTGGGTTAATCAGGATTCACCCCCTGTGTCACCAGTTACTGGAGACTATTTGGGATTCCATCAGTTAGGAGAAGGGCAAGGAAATAGATGAGTAGGGAGCTAGCAGTGTCTGGATTTCCATGGCCAGCTCTCTGATACAAGTCGATAGCCTTCATCCCTGTCGGAACTGGCGCCTTGTTCCCCTAGCCCTTCTCCTTCAGGATTTCCGGACCATAGCAAAGAGCAATCAGGAATCTGTAGACCTAATCTTCTAGCTCTCTGCACTCACTCTCTCTTAATCTCTCTTTCTTCCCCATGTCTTGGCATCAGTTTGGTGATGCTTTATAGAACCTTAACAGGAGAACAGCTGGCATAAGCTTGTGACAGCTTCCCTTGACGCTGCTGCTGCCATTCACTGTGATCCTTTTTCTTTGATTCCCTTTGCTGCCATGCCACATTCTTCCCTTGAGATCTCTGCAGTCTGGGCTCCTTCCCCATCCCTCTGCTCAAACTGCCCTTGAAGGCCACCGGTGATGAGCTTCTTGCTACATCCAGTGGCCTTTTAAGTATACAGCCCTGTCTTGTCTACTAGTCCCTAAGTTTTCTTGAAGGCAGCTACCACATCTTCTTCATTTCTGTATCCCCAGCTCTTGCACAGGACTGAAGAATCTAAACAAATGTTTGTTGAATGAGTGAGTACATATTTTTCATCTTCCGTGACTCTTAATGGCAATTAATTCTGTTACTGTTATTTGCTTCTTAAAATTGTTAGCTCCTTTTACTCTGTTGATACTAATTAATCTCCTGGTTATTCTCTTTCTCCAGTTACTTCTCCTTTCCTTGGTTTCAATAGCCTATGTTTATAAGTGCCTAGCCTGATTCATGGTATACTGTAGCTTCTCAAATTGTTGAGCTTGAATCCTTTTGCTATTCCTATTATTGTTGCCATCCGTAAAACAGAGCTATTTCCTGAGTTCAGCCTTTGTCCTTCTACTTTTTCCTCTCCATTCTTCCTCAAGGACTGACTGTTCTCATGGTTTTAGCTGTTAATGATTGGAATCCATAGCTCTAGCCCTGACTCCTACTTAACCCTTGTTTTATTGGGCAGCAGCGTTATGTAGAAAAAGCCTAGATTTTGGATCCAAACTGACAACCTAATCAATGAGTTTAAATCCTTACTCCACCACTTACTATTAGATTCAACCATATGAAATTCCTAATATATGACCATTTTGATTTAAAATGGCAGATTTATATGGTTTAATCTAATAGTCCTATGACCTTTGGTAAGCCACTCTGCTTTTCTAAGTCTCAATTTTCTTAGAGATAAAATATGTAAAGTAATCGACATAAAGTAGACATTTTATAAATGATAAGTTTCTTCTTACTCTTGTTACTACCCCTTGCCCTATAAGCCTTCCTAAAACATATTCCTTATCATCATGATCCAGTGACAAGGCACAGAGCCGCAAAAAGTAGAATTATGCTACAGGGCAAGATATGTTGAAGTATCAAAGGAATAATAAACGTTACAGGAGATTGATGGAGAAAGTGTTTACTGTATGGGGTGTTAGAAATGGCTTCCTAGAGGGAATGGGAATAGAGCTGGGACTTATCAAGTAGATAAGATTTGCATATAGAAACTTGAGTGCAGAAGAAGACCTATGGTAATCATACTTTTTTGAGAGGAGAGAAAAGAAACTCAATAATAGATGTCACTTTTTTTTTGCTGAAGTAATAACAATGAGAAACTGAAAAAAGATTATGGTTGGTTTCCCACTCTGGCTTAAAATGAGATTTTGAGACTCAAGAAATGTAAACTTCAAACACAGAGCCATGATGCAGCACATGGGAAGCTTCTGTTGCTTTGGTGGCAGTTCTGAAGTAAGAGAGTTTGGTATCCTGGAGAACCACATGTAGGCCACTCAGGGCTTCTGCATTTCTTAACTCCTCTGTCCTACCTTTAGGCCATTTTGTTGAATATTAACATCTCCCTTGCAAAGGGATGTGTGAGTAAAGTGGAGGTAACGTGGAGAAGAGCTAACTTGTGGCCCTTCTACTGTTTGTAACTCTTTTCTGCTGGAAAGAAGGAAAGGCATAAATTCTGTTATTAACATCTTATATTAATATTAGTATATTACTATTAAAGGCAGAGGCTGGCCTGGTGGTGCAGCAGTTAAGTTCACACATTCTGCTTCGGCAGCCCATGGTTCGTCAGTTCGGATCCTGGGTGCGGACATGACACTGCTTGGCAAGCCATGCTGTAGTAGGCGTCCCACATATAAAGTAGGGGAGGATGGGCATGGATGTTAGCTCAGGGCCAGTCTTCCTCAGCAAAAAGAGGAGGATTGGCAGCAGATGTTAGCTCAGGGCTAATCTTCCTCAAAAACAAACAAACAAAACAAAACAAACAAAAAGGCAAAGAGAGTAAAATTATAACTCTGTTTTCAGAGGACAAAACTAAGATCAATAAAAGAAAGTTATCAGGAGCCACATTTCAGTTCAATACAGTCATGTGCTGCATAGCGATGTTTCAGTCGACCGACTGCGTATACCATGGTGGTCCCATGAGATTAGTACCATAGAGCCTAGGTGTGTGGTAGGCCATACCATCTAGGTTTGTGAAAGTACACTCTATGATGTTTGCACAACGACAAAACCACCTAACAACGCATTTTTCAGAACATACCCTGTTGTTAAGCGATGTGCGACTGTATAAGGAAAAGCCATCTGTTTTGTAAGAAAGAAGCTGGCATTGAGGTAGTGAGCACCACTAACTCTGGGGATGGACAAGCATAGGCTGGTTGGCTACGCTGCCAGGTGCTGTAGAGGGAATTCTGTACTAGTTAGAAGGTGGAGGTAGATGATCTTTGAGGTCCTTTTGAACTCTTTGATTTACTAGAGAGGAGATTGAAATTGCCAGATTAAACAATTTTTTAAACTTTATTATAGAACTTGGTAAACCGATACAAAGATAGAGAAATAAACCTGGTGCACCCATCATCTAGCTTCAACTATTACTAATTTATGGCTAATCTTCTTTCATCATGTTTTACCCATTCCTTTATAATCCCCAGCCTTTATCATATTTTGAAATATATCAAAAACATCATATTATTTTATCTGTCAGTATTTCTATATCTTTAAAAGATAAATATTCTTTTTTGGAAAAGATTATTTTTAATATTAATAGTGCAAGGAAGGATAATGTCCTCCTGTATGCTGCTGGTTGGAGGATAGATTGATTAACAGATAAAATAAAATTGATTGACAGATAATTTTGGAAAGCAGTTTTTTAGATTTCCAAAAAGTTTGAGAAGGTTAATTAATATCTTTTGATTCTTTTTCAGGATTTTATACAAAGTTATAATCTTAATACAGAAAAAACTTTATGCATAAAAATCTTCTTTTATGCGGTTATGCTCTCAACCATGTAAAATAAAAATTTGCACAAAAAAGATTGGGAAAGTACATTAAAATGTTAACAGTAATTATCTTTGTGGTAGATTATGGGTGATTTTTTACTTCTCTGTTTATTTTTAAAGTTTTCTTCAATGAGCATGTACTACTTTTTTTTTTTTGAGGAAGATTAGCCCTGAGCTAACTGCTGCCAATCCTCCTCTTTTTGCTGAGGAAGACTGGCCCTGAGCTAACATCTGTGCCCTTCCTCCTCTACTTTATATGTGGGATGCCTACCACAGCATGGCTTGCCAAGCGATGCCATATCCGCACCCGGGATCCAAACTGGCGAACCCTGGGCCTCCGAAGTGGAACGTGCGAACTTAACCACTGCACCACCGGGCAGTCCCTAGCATGTATTACTTTTATATTAAGTAAAATAACAACAACAACAAAAATCACCTTAGTCAGCAGTTTATAGATGATCTCAAGTTTCATTTGTTCATGCTCTTCTGAGAAAATTAAGTTTAGAAATTAGATGGGTTTTTATTTTCTTGGTCTAACTTTCCTCCTTTGCCTAATATATATGCTCAAGTTTATAGATTGAAGAATAATTTGGGAGCATAGATTTTTCTTAAAGAAAACATTTATATAGGTGAATTCCCTGTTAAAAATAATTTCCTAGGATAAGTTTGCAAACAGATATATAAACCTGAAGTTGCTTGGTCTGTGCCCTTGGCTAAAGACAACCTTTCTTCCCACCGAGCTTGCACTTAACCTTCAAACCCTCTCCAGCCCAGCATTCTAGGCAGCCACTACAGGGCCTCGTATTTGGCCTACATAATGAGACCTGTTTGCTGTTCTGGGTCTCAGGACAATCTTCTTTAGGCTAGTGATGTACAGAAATAAACTAAAATAGTTTTTTAATTCCTCTGCATGCAGCTTTCTCTTCAATTATCTAAATTTTCTTTCTGCCTTTTAGGTGATGGAAGCTGTTTCATTGTCCAGCAAGACTTAGACTATGTCATTGAGCTCACTGGGGCTGACTGTGACCCCGTGTACAAGGTACACGCCTGAGAGGAGACCAGGCCTAGGCGATTCTCACCTGGGATCTAGGACTTTTGAACGGACTGAATCTGGCTACTTTGTGGTCTTAGGGGTGATCAGATACTTATGAGTGGGATAGAAGGAAATCATAATTTTGAATCAGAAGTGACTTCATCACTTACTGCCTCTAGAAACTTAAAAAATAACCTCACCCCCCATCTGTCAATTTATCTTAAAATGAAGATTATAGTGAGATAATGCATAGGAAAGCTCTTTGTAAATTTAAAAGATTCTATGATTATTAGCCATCATTATTATTATTTCTAGTTCGAGATTGATTATCTCATTTTATTAGAGGGGAAAAGGGAAATAGTATTTATTGATCAGATGTTGTTTTACATATATTATCTCATTTAATCATTGAACTCATTCATTGAAGTATAGGTATTATTATTCCTATTTTTTCTTATATTTTTAAAAACGTTATACAATACATACCTATAAAAATTCAAACAATATAGAATAATAGAGACTTAAAAGTCCCATTAAAGACCTTTTCAGTTTCATTCTTCTTTCTAGAAGTAACTAGCATTAATAGTTTGGCATATATTTTTCTTTTTTTGAAGATTAGCCCTGAGCTAACTTCTGCCAATCCTCCTCTTTTTGCTGAGGAAGACTGGCCCTGAGCTAACATCGTGCCCATCTTCCTCTCCTTTATACATGAGATGCCTACCAGAGCATGGTGTGCCAAGCAGTGCCATGTCCGCACCCGGGATCCCAACCGGCGAACCCTGGGCTGCCAAGTAGCAGAACGTGTGAACTTAACCGCTGCGCCACCGGGCCGGCCCCATTGGCATATATTTTTCAAGATTGTTTTTGGAGAATTTGCACTTACATCTTTTGTTTATATATTTATGTAAATAATATAGTTTTATCTTTAGTTTGTACGTAATTGGGATCATTCTATATTTATTGCCCTATGACTTTCTTTTTTTTTTTTACTTAATGTCTCGGAGCTCTTCCCAGACAAATGCATACAGATCCACTTCATTTTTTAAAATTCTTGCTTAGTGTTCTATATTGTGAATTTTAACATATTATTTTCATTTTGCAAATGAGGAAACTGAGACCCTTAGGGGTTGAGAAAATTGCCCTAGGTCGTACAGATTACATATTAGCAAACCTGAGATTAAGCTAACTCCAGAATTCAAGCTCCTTCTACTAAATTCATGGTTCTTAATCTTCTTTGATTCTCAGACTTCTTTGGGAAGTCAGTGAAATCCTTCTCAAAAAAAAGGGCACATATTGAGAACTTCTTTGCATACAATTTTATGAGTTTCAGAGATACTCAGGCGTATCTATGGACCATCTCCTCCCCAGGTACAGACCCTCTGCACTAAACCATGTACAACACTAATGGTTTGCTCTCTGCTTAGGCAATTAGTTTCTCTGTTCTGTAGTCATAAGTGCCCTTGACTCTGGCCGGTCATTTTTTAAATACATATCATGGATGTAATTCTTCTCTTGTCTTTGGAGTCGCTAAAGCTTTTCAGACTTCCTTATACTAGTGGAGGTCGATGAGAATGCTCTTTCTTTTTAAAATGGAAGAATCCCAGGCCTCCTTTGAGCTGCAAACTCTTGTATTCTAGGTAGCCACGTGGGAAAAGCAGATCTATACCTGCTGTCGAGATGGTCTTGTGCGACGCTATCAGCTCTCTGACCTCTGACCCCCTGGAAAGAGGAGTCCCAGTTAATGAAGATTGACCCTGACCAACAATGAGCAGAAACAGCATCAGTCCTTCCCAAGGATCAGGGCCCTTGGTTGTCTTGGGCTTCCTTTGGAAGTCGCAGAAAGGCAGCTACATCGGCCCATGTGGAACCATCATTCCCTGACAAGACCTACTTTGAATGAGTAAGAAGCTCACATGTGCTCACTGCATTTGCCCCAACTTCTTGTATAAACTTACCCCGCAACACAGGGCAAATACAGATGCTTACAATGCGATCTCACACCAATTGTGTTAAATATTTACAGGGACCAGAGGACTAAAGCCTGTTCTCTGAAGGAAATAAAGAGAATATGTTTGGAGGAATCTGAATTTGAAAAACTTTGTTAAATACTCTTACTCCAGCAAAAAGTCAGTCAAGCTGATGGAACTCCTTTCTCAGGCACTTCCTGTTTGCCTGGCCATAGAGAAGGACTGCCTGAGAGTAGCAGCAAATAGCCCATAAGCAGCAACCTGGGAAAGATTCTTATACAGTTAGAGTAACCAGCCAATTTTCCCTGGACTGAAGGGTTTTCTGTTACACGAGACTTTCAGTCCCAGGCAAACTGACGTGGTTGGTTGGCCTGTATACAGGTGATGAAGTGGAATCATATCATTGGAAAGGCAGTGGCTGTCAAAGTGCAGTCCCTGGAAGAGCTGCAGCAGTATCACACAGGAGCTTGTTAGAAGTAGAAATTTTGGGGTCCCACCTCAGACCTAAGTCAGAAATTCTATTGGTGGGGCTCACAGTCAGTATTTTTAACAAGGCTTCCAGGTGATTCTGATGCACGCTGAGGTTTGAGACCTAGAGGAAGAGATGGTGGAGAGCACCTTAGTCACAGATGGAACCCAGGGCTCAGAGGCTGGTTTATAGGAGATGAGGCTGGAGAGGTTGGCAGGGTCCAAACAGCACAGGGGCTTGAATGCCAGCTCAGGAGTTTGAACTTCACTTGGTTGGCAGTGGGGAACCATGAAATCGTTTTAAGCAAGGGTATGACGTGGTCACCTCTTTTTTTCCCTAAACATAAAAATGGAATCATACTGTATGTATTCCACGCTTTATTATCTCTTAGTATCTCTGAGTTCTTCCCATCTCAGACCTTTCTCATTCTTTTTATCAATTTTCAGAGTGTGAATACCTTATCATTTACATTTTTAGAGACTATTAGAGAAAAGGTTTCTTAGAGGATGCAACACTTGAGCTGGGCCATGTAGGCTAAGATCTGGATTTATTTAAGGGAAGAAAGTCATTCTTGGCTGGGGTAATAGTATGGTTCACAGGGTTCTTAAAGGTATAGTCTCACGTAATCTTTATAACTAACTGTGACATGCAGGTAGTGAGACTCAAAAGAGATGAAGAGATTTGCCAAGAGTCTTAGAGAGCAGAAACTTGTACAGTTTATCATAACTTTAAATCCCATTTTTGGGCCAGCCCCAGTGGCCTAGTGGTTAAGTTCGGCACACTGTGCTTTGGCGGCCCAGGTTCAGTTCCTGGGTGCAGACCTATACCATTCGTCTGTCAGTGGCCATGCTGTGGTGACAGCTCACATACAAAAAGAGGAAGATTGCAGCAGATGTTAACTCAGGGCAAATCTTCCTCAGCAAAAAATAAAATAAAATAAATTAAATTCCCATTTTTTCCTACTTGTTGCTTATGCCGAAACCAAATTGTGAAAATAAAGCACTACAATTCCTTGAGTATCTATTAGTATCTACTCTGTTCTAGGTACTGTATATATATATTTAATCCTCACAACACTCTTAAAAAGGAAATGATATTATTCCTGTTTTACAGATAAGGAAACTGAGGCTCGAGAAATTAAGTACCAGAGCCCTGATTTGGACCTTACTCAGTCTGCCTTCTTCCACTACACCATGTGGTCATGAGACCTCTGGGACTAGAGCAGTTTCATTTAAGGAGTGATTTGTGACAGGGTTAGGTAAACTGGAAGGGGCATATTCCAAAGTTCAGAAAATTTGGAATCCTAGGAGGTCCACAGGGAAACCCTAAGAAGTCAGATTAAGTAAACAGGATGATGGGGCCAGCCCCGTGGCCGAGTGGTTAAGTTCGCTGGCTCTGCTTTGGCGGCCCAGGGTTTCGCTGGTTTGGATCCTGGGCACGGACATGGCACGGCTCGTCAAGCCATGCTGAGGCAGCATCCCACATGCCACAACTAGAAGGACCCACAACTAAAATATACAACTATGTACTGGGGGGCTTTGGAGAGAAAAAGGAAAAATAAAATCTTTAGAAAAAGAAAAAAAAAAAAGAAAGCAGGATGAGGGAGGATATGGCTGACTTCACATAAGCGTGTCTCAGCGTTCCCGTGCCAGGACTTGCTCTTCTCCACTGCCGTCACCTTCACGAGCCCATTTTCACAGATCTCCAGAGTTGCTATCCTGGTTGTGATGGATGCAGTGACACTTCACAGCCACCCTGAAATCCGGACCCAAACAGAAAGAGCAGAGGCCAGCTCTCAGGTGCCCCAAGGCCTTGTCTACTATGGATGGAATAATCCTCGGTTTGCAGCAAAGGTTTTTGTTCTTTTGGGTTGAGGATTGCATTCTGGGTAAAGAAGTGTGGCCAAGCCCCATCTGCAGCGCTACAAGCCCAGTGAAGCTCTCTGCTGGACCTTGTTTCCTGGCTTTCAGATGCCCCCTTGTGACTCCTTGTGAGAAGTGTGTCTGTTTCTCAGCCCTGAAGAGCTGGCAGTGGCATCAGCTATTGAGCATGCACTCTGTGCCAGGCACAGTCCTCACAGTAGCCTTGTGAAGTAAGTGATCTTTTTCTTTTTCTTTGAGGAAGATTAGCCCTGAGCTAACATCTGCCGCCAATCTTCCTCTTTTTGCTGAGGAAGACTGGCCCTGGGCTAACATCCGTGCCCATCTTCCTCTACTTTATATGTGGGACACCTGCCACGGCATGGCTTGCCAAGTGGTGCCATGTCCGCACCCAGGCTCCAAACCGGCGAACCCTGGGCCTCCAAAGCCGAACGTGCGAACTTAACTGCTGCGCCACCAGGCCGGCCCCTGTTCTTTTTCTTGAACAAGTCTCTTTGTGGATATATATATATTTTTTCTAATTTACTTTTTATTTTGAAATCATTTCAAACTTGCACAAAAGTTGCAAGAATAGTACAAAGGATTCTGGTATACCCCATACAGATCTCCCAGTTGTTAACTTTTTATTATGTTTGCTTTATCATTCTCTCTCTCTCCCCCCCACTCCCTCTCTCTCTCTGTATATATTTATCTCACATATATATATATATTACACAGGTTAAATATGCTATATATATTTTTTCTGAATCAGTTGAGAGTAATATACAAATGTTATGTCCTTTTACCTTTAAACACTTCACTATGCACTTGCTAAAACCAAGAACACTGCTGCGTAACCACAGTTCATCTGTGAAACAAGGAAACCAGCACTGACCCGTACTATCATCCAATCTGCAGAGCCCATTCAAGTTTCACCAGTTGCTCCGACAATGTCCTTTATAATCACTCTTTCCGCTGTGGTCCAGGACCTAATCTAGGATGACATATGGCATTTATTTACCTTCTGTCTGGAGTAGTTCCTCAGTTTTTCCTTGTCTTTCATAAATGTGATGTTTTTGGAATATAGGCCAGTTTGTAGAAGAACCCTTAGTTTGGGTTTGTCTGATGTTTCCTCATGGTTAGATTCAGGTTATCATTTTGGCAAGAATACCCCAAAAGTGATTCTCTGTCCTAAGAGCTGCATATGATATATGCTAAGAGCCTTATGATATATTTTTTGTCCTATTACTGGTAATGTTAAGGTTTTTTTGGAGATATAATTCACAAACCATAAAATTCACCCTTTTAAAGTATACAATTTCGTGGCTTTTAGCATATTCACAAGGTAGTCCAGCCATCACCACTAATTCCAGAACATTTCATCACCCCAAAAACAAACATACTTTTCAGCAGTCACTCCCCATCCCTCCAGCCCTGGAAACCTCTAATCAACTCTCTCTCTCTAGATTTGCCTGTTCTGGACATTTCATGTGAATGGAATCATACAATATGTGGCCTTTTGTGTCTGGCTTCTTTGACTTAGCATAATCTTTTCTTTCACTTAGCATAATGTTTTCAAGGTTCTTCCATGTTGTGGCATGCATCAGTACTTAATTTCTTTTTGTTTCCAAGCAACATTACACTCGTGATGGTTAATTTTATGTGTCAACTTGGCTGGGCCATGGTGCCCAGATATTTGGTCAAACATTCTGATGTTTCTGTGAAGGTGTTTTTTGGACAAGATTAACGTTTACATCGGTGGATTTGGAGTAAAGCAGATTACCCTCCGTAATGTGAGTGGGCCTCATCCAGTGAGTTGAAGGCCTTCATAGAAAAAGACTGACCTCCCCCAAGCAAGAAGGGATTGCGTCAGAGGGTTGCCTTTGGACTTGAACTGCGACTCTTCCCTGGGTCCCCAGCCTGCAGGCCTACCCTGTGACTTTGGACTCTTCAGGCCTCCATAATTGTGGTACATAAGGAATTGTGCCAATTCCTTAAAATAAATCTCTCTCTTTATATACACACACCCATCCTGTTGACTATGTTTCTCTGGAGAATCCTGAGTAATACACCATTGTATGGATATGCCAAGTTTTTTAATCCATTCATCAATTGATGGACATTTGGGTTGTTTCCACTTTTTAGCTATTATGAATAATGCTTCTACGAACATTCATGTACAAGTTTTTGTGTGAACATAAGTCTTAGTTCTCTTGGGTATAGACTTAGCAATGGAGCTGCTTGGTCGTACGGTAACTCTATGTTTAATGTTTTGAGAGACTGCCAACTGTTTTCCAAAGTGGCTGCCCACCTTTCATTCTCACTAGCAGTGTATAAGGGTTCTGATTTCTTCGTGTCCTTGCCAACACTTCTTTTTGTCCATCTTTTTTATTATAGTCAGGTGATGTTAAATTGGTAACATGATGTCTACCAGGTTTCTCCACAGCAAAGTTAGTAAGTTTTTTTGTGGGGAGCTACTTTGAAACTATATAAATATCCTATTCCTCATAAAACTTCCACCAACTAGTTTTAGCATCCTGGATGATTTCTCTGAATCAGTTGTTCTATGATAATTGCCAAATGGTGGTTTTCTAATCCCATCATTCTTTTTACATTTATAATTGGCATTCTTACTATAAGGTAGAACTTCCCCTTCTCCAAGTATTTATTCATTCACTTGTTCATTCATCATAGATATATTAGTATGGACTACTCATGAATTCATACTCTGTAGATCATAAGCCATTATTACTAATTTATTTTGATGTTTAAATTGTCCCAGTTGGGCCAGTGGGACCTCCTTCAAGCTGGATCCTATGTCCTTTTGACATGTTTCCATCATTCTTTGAGCACTTCCATATTTTCTGGTACCACAAATATTCAAGCCTTATCTTCCACTTTCCCACCCCAGGCCTGGAAACAGTCATTTGTCCAAATAGCCCTGGTTCCTTTTAGTGGAGAATGGTATTCAGAAACCAAGATCTGGGCACTAATGTGCTCTTTACTGCTGGCATATTATTGTTTCTAGGCCCTATCAGTGGACAATACATACATACCTCTCTATTTCTACATCCATCATTCCATATATACATTAAAAATCATGAGTTCACACTGATGTCTGCAATTCCAATCCAACTGCACAGGGTTTATTCTAGCCTTCTACATATATGCCTCCTTTCTCCAACAAGGAGAAGCTTGTCTTTCCTAGTTCTCAATATATTCACTTATTTGCTTAATACCTCTATGAGTAACCGATCCGCCAACCACGCAGGCCGTCTCCTCCGCTTTCTCTGCAGCCCCTGCACACATGGCACCCGCAGAGTCTCCTTCTTCCCCTCCATTCACAGTCCCAGGCTGGGCAAGGCCTTCCTCCAACCCTCTGGGTTTAATTTTTAATAGCATTTTTTTCTGATAAGAGTGAAACAGGGGGCTGGCCCGTGGCTGAGTGGGTGAGTTCATGTGCTCCACTTCAGGGGCCTGAGGTTTCGCCAGTTAAGATCCTGGCCGTGGACCTTGGGCTGCTTGTCAGGCCATGCTGAGCCAGTGTCCCACATAGCAGAGCCAGAAGGACCTATAACTAGAATATACAACTATGTACTGGGGGGCTTTAGGGAGAAGAAAAAATAAATAAAAAAGTAAAAAACTTAAAAAAAAAAAACCAAAAGAAAACAACAAAAAAGAGTAAAACAAATAACCAGTACACATGAAAAGATGCTCAATTTCAGTAGTTAAATAAACACAAAATCCACAAGAAAGCTCAGAAATGCAAAAAATAAAAAGAGTAATTCCACATTTTCATTTTACAACCAGGCAACTGTGGCTAAGAAATCATTGTTTAGGGGGCCGGCTCCATGGCCAAGTGGTTAAGTTCGTGCGCTCTGCTGCGGCGGCCCAGGGTTCGGATCCTGGGTGCAGGCATGGCACCACTCGTCAGGCCACGTTGAGGTGGCGTCCCACATCCCACAACTAGACGGACCTTCAACTAAGATATACAACTATGTATGGGGGCGGGGGGGGGGGGGGGGGCGGCGGGAAATCAGAAAAAAAAAAGATTGGCAACAGTTGTTAGCCCAGGTGCCAATCCTTAAAAAAAAAAAAAAGGAAGATTAGCAACAGTTGTTAGCCTAGGTGCCAATCTTTAGGAAAAAAAAAAGAAATCATTGTTTAAGGACATAAAACTAGTAGCTAACGGACAGGATTCGGAACTTGGCCTCTGACTCTACTGCCTCAGTGTGGAGAGAGCATCTTCTCTGAGATACATGCTTTTGTATAATTTTATCTAGTATTTTCACACCAACTCTGTGGTGGAGTTCATGTTAATAATCTCGTTTACTCAAGGAAACTTACACTTGGGGCCATTAAGTAAACTTGCGCAGGTCACACAGATGGCGAGTGAGCGCAGCAGCATCAACATTTGGTCACTTTCTGACCACTCAACTCACCCAGATCCTTTCCTTCCTAGTTCTTTAATTGATTTCTCTGTCCTTTGGCCCAACTCCTAAAGTGTGTTTTACCTTCTCCAAATATACCTAAAGTAGACCCTTTGCGTCAAATACTGTGAAAGAACTACTTTAAGGCAGGCCCTCTCTGTAACAGTGTAGTTTCAGAAGACCCAGGAAAGTTCTTACATATCTCAGTCGCTGGCATCTGAAACACCATCAGGGGACCAAGCTTTTCCGTCCACAATAGAGACGAGGTTAAAATGCAGCCCTCCTCTTTCCCCACGTGATTGCTATTAGATCCTTTCTTAAGAACATGTTCCCATTCGGGAGGAGTGAAAGACTGAGTGAAAGAGCAGTACTTAGAGAAGATACTCCCTAAGAGGTGGAGAGGAAGGGGGATAGTGTGGTACTGGCCCAGGCATAGGCCAAAGGAACAAGAGTCCAGATTGAAGCCATGCATATGTGGACACTTTATCTATACCACAGCAGTCAGTACAGATTGGTGGGGAAACGATGGACTGTTAAATGGTTCTGAGACAGTGGGGAATCTAAAAGAAAAAATGATACCTACCTTGTACGATATACAAGAAAAAAGAAGTTCTAGGTGGATTAAAGATTTAAAAGTGAAGTGGACTTTTGGAAGAACATTTAGGGGAAGATCTTTATGACCTTGCATAGGGAATATTTCTTACACTAGACACAAAAAGTATAACCAAAAGGGAAAAGATTGATAAATTTGATCCCATTTTTAAAAAACGCTAAAAAAGTGAAAGGGATTTGTATTTTATACAAAGAACGTAAAAGAAAACATAACGAGTCAAAAATCAATATTTTTAAAAAAGGATAGCCCAGCAGAAAAATGGGCAAAAAACCTAAATAGACATTTCACAATGAGGAAAAACAAATGGCCAATAACCACGAAAAGATGCTCAACCAAGAAATGCAAACTAAAATCCACAATGAGATGCTATTTAACGCCTATATTGGCAAGTATTTAAAAACTTGACATCAAGAATTGGTGAGGATGTGGAGCAGAAAGGAACTCTCCCACAGTGCTGTTCTGACCACATAAATTAGAATAACCGCGTCAGAAAACTGTGTGACCTCACCTCGCAGAGTTGACACATACCCGGATGTTCAGCATCAGCAGAGAATGCTATACAGCCTCCTTGAAAATAGGTCACACACACACAAAGGCGTGCCGTTTGCATAAGCGATACCATTTATGTAAAGTTCAAAAACATGAAAAGATAAGTATGTTGTTAGGGATACATGCCGTGGTGTCCTGGAGCTGGCTTGTACCAGCTTGGGAGAAATTGGCAAATGCTACAAATCAGGGCTATTTTTTTCTTTCTGGTGAGCTAGTTGTTAAATACCTACCAGTACACCACTGGATGTGTGCACAATAGTAAAACAATAAAGAAAAGCAAGAGGAGAATAAACAGTTAGGGAGGGGCACACAGAGGCAACATTCCTTCAATAAGGAATGTTCTAATGCTGTTCTTTTGTGCATATAAGCTATTTCATGGGGGAAGAAACCAAGTAGGAGTTTGGTTGAAGCCAGCGTCGGTGGTGGGTGTGGTGGGACGGGTGAGGTGGCAGCTTAGGTGAATGTGAGAGAGGAGGGTTAGTCTGAGCAGTACAAGTGCTGTAGTGCATCAACTCTGGGCGGTGTGCAGTGTGGTCTTGGCAGGGTAGAGACGAAGCAAGCAGGACAGTGAGGATGTTGTAGTGGCCTTGCTGAAAGATGAAAGCCAAAGCAAGACCATGGTGGAGGAGGATGAGCAGAGGAAGGGCTTGAGAGGCATCTAGGAGGTACAATGGACTGAACTTGGTGACTGACTGGATGTGGGATGTAAGTGGATGACAGGGCGCTGCTGCCCGCAAGGAGGTGGCGCAGAGCTCCCCACTCTTTGAGGTGGGCTGCAAAATGACTTCCTTCCAAAGAGTACAATCCAGAAAGGGGGAAACGAAAGTCCCTTTACAGTGGAGAACGCTGACCAACACGACTGCAGCAGGCTCAAGGCCAGCATCACCAGGGAAAAGTCACGTTGATGGTATGTACCTTTGATCTGTGGTATGTGGACGGCACTTTACCTCTGTGGTCTTCCTTCCCAAACCCCACAAGCCCAGTTTAATCATAAGAAAAACATCAAACAAACCCCAGTTGAGAGACATTCTACAAGATACCTGATCAGTACTCCTTAAACTGTTGAAGTCATCAAAAACAAGGACAACTTGGGCGCCGGCCCGGTGGCACAGCGGTTAAGTTCGCACGTTGTGCTTTGGTGGCCTGAGGTTCGCCAGTTTGGATCCCAGGTGCAGACATGGCACTGCTTGTCAAGCCATGCTGTGGCAGGTGTCCCACTTAAAATAGAGGAAGATGGGCACAGACTGGCTCAGGGCCAGTCTTCCTCAGCAAAAGGAGGAGGATTGGCAGCAGTTAGCTCAGGGCTAATCTTCCTCAAAAAGAAAAAAACAAGGAAAATTTTAGAAACAATTGTAACCAAGAGGAGCCTAAGGAGACATGACAACTAAGTATAACGTGGAATCCTGGATGGGATCCTGGAACAAAAAAAGACATTAGGTTAAAAACTAGGAAATCTGAATAAAGTATGGGCTTCCCTTATAAAGGATGTATCAATTGGTAATTATTGTGACAAATGTACAGTACTCACGTAAGATGTTAATAATAGAGGAAACTGGGTGTGGGGTATACAGGAACTCTGTACTATCTTCACAACTTTTTTGAAAATCTAAAATAAAAATTTATTTTAAAATACAGCCAAATGCATTTGTTCTGAAAACTTTTAACTAAAAGTAATTGCTACTCTCTTTAAACACTGTGGCTTCTGAGTTGAGTGACCTTTATCAGGCTCAAAGAATCAGCCCTGGTTCTTGCAATCTGTTCATTTGTTCTTCTATGAGGCTGAGCTGAGAAGGCAGTTTGCTTTGGCAGGAAGGACTACAACTCCCAGAGTGCCCCTGTGTGGTTGTCAGGAGCAACCAAGGAATGCAGACCAACAGCCCTGCCGGAGCCAGGACTAGCCACTGACTGACTGCCAGCCAGCCATGGGCCAGGATTATTACGCTCTACTCCACATCACTAGAAATGCAGAGGATGCCCAGATCAAGAAGGCGTAAGTTGGGGCGGAAGCGAGGCTTTAGGGGTGTGCTAGGGCAGGCCCCACCCTCCTCTCTTCCAAACTGAGCTTTCCTGCACAGCTTAGGGTGGTTCCTTCTCTTGCTTCTTACACACTTACATCCTGGCTTTGGGCCGGGTCAGGGTCCCCAACCCATCATTCTTTACCCTCTATGCCCTGTCTCCTCTCCTGGGTGTCTTGGTTTTCCTAGCAATAAAATAGGGACAAAGGAGACATTTGAACTTTATCTTGAATTTTATGGAGAACCAAAGGATTGTGAACAGGAGGGTGACCTGGCCAGATGGATGCATTACAAATTTCATTCTGGCCGTCACGTGGGGTTTTGGCCTTGAATAAACTGCATCTCTGAATACTTCCATCAAATCTTGGGGACTTTGTGGCCCATTTCTAAGAAAGTCTAGGACAGGAGTCAGCACATTTTTCTGGAAAAAAAAGTCTTTTTCACGAATATTTATTGAGTGCCTACCATATGGATTAGGTGCAATGGTAGCAACTAGAGTTATAATCACGAATCAGACAGATATGCAACTTAATTTTGTTGGTGAATACAGATGTTGAAAAAGTCACAAGTGTGATGAGCGTTACAAAAAAGGAAGTACAGGGTGTCCTGGAAGCTTATCCTGGAAGGAGAGAGACCCCCTTGGAGGCTCATGATAATCAAGGCAAAAGATGAGGCTCGAAGCAGGGCAGTGGGATGGAGAGAGGAGAGGGAATGGACTTGGCTATTAATTGGATCACTGGAGGGTGAAGAAAACGGGAGGAATCTAGGATAATTCAATCACTTAAGGTTGGGTAGTGATAATAGGTACATTTATTGAATTGTGCAGATGCTGTTCTGAGAACCTTCACCATTATTTCATTTAATCCTCACAATGACCCTGAGTAGTAGGTGCTATGATTATGCCAAGGCCAGGCACCTAGGAAACAGTGGAACCAGTAATCAGACACCATGTCTACTCTAGTTGCCTGCTGTGGGCCAGGTCCTGTGGCAGTAAGTGGACAGCGTCTACAGTGTGGTTGGAGAAACAAGACACAAAAGCACGAAACAAGTAGAGAACAATTCAGGACAGTGTGTGATATCACCCACTGTTCAGGGCATCTCATTGGTCAGTGGGACCTGTCTAGGGAAAGGTCACCAGGAGGGAGGGCAGTTGGAATGCAGAAGGATAAGCCCAACTTAAGCATTGAAAAGACCCAGGTCTGCATCCAGGTTCTCCTACCTGCTAGCTGTGTGACCTGGGCAAATTACTTAACCTCTCTGAGCCTCAGTTTTCTCATCTATAAAAAAAAAAATGAGTTGTTGTGATATTGAAATGGGATTATATGAGACAATAAACATGAGAATGCCCAGCAATCATTTGCATCTGTAACCATGTCATATAAAGAGTGATTAAAAGAACTGCGTATGTTTCAAACAACAGTCCTGAACCCCTCTTCCCTGCAACAGCTCTTAGGGCTGAGTCACGTGTATAACACACTCTCCCATGGGAGTACCTAGACTTTTTTGATCCAAAAAAGAAAAAAAGCTAAACTTATAATGAAGAGAAGCACCACAATGTTCATAATCACCCAGCGATTAACCTTCTCAGTGTCACTCATCCTCTCCAGGCTGCCACGTCGGAGCTGTGACCCCACCCCCTCTCCCACTCAGGAAGGCAGGTGAAGGAGAGTGATGTTACTGTGAGGATAATCCTAAAACCACTCCAGTTTGTATGAAAAACTGAGCTCTTCATTGCTTTTACTCACTGATAGAATTTACTTGCAATTCTCCTCCTAACTGTGACCTTTGTAACTGAGAAGGGCTGGTTTAGACATGTAAGGGAGGTCTGACAACTGTCATCAAGTCTCTGAAGGTGGACAGAGCAGGGTCTCTGTAAGGCCTCTGAGGGCAGAGCCAGGACCCTCGTGGATGGAGGCGGAGTCACAGGACAGCAGGCCCGGCTCAGCAAGAGGAAGCGTTGCCTGAAAGTCAGGGCCGCCGCCCAGCGAGATGGGCTGCCTGTGGGGCAGTCAGTTCACATCATTCGTTCTCACTGCTGCTCTGTGTGAGGCAGTGGGGACACGGAGAACTGGACACAGCAACTCAAGGGACTCAGTCTAATGGGAGAGACAGACCAGTCACCCAGCAACTGGAGCACCCCCTGCTGAGTGCTGGGATCAAAGGCACTGGGGACGTGGGAGGGGGACTCTAATCTAGAGTGGAGGCTGCAGTCAGGGAAAGTGTCCTGGAGGAGCTGACCCCTGAGCTGAATGTTGAAGGATGAATAAAAATTTGCCAGGAGGAGATGGGAGGGGCTGGAGAGGGGTGAGCCTTACAGGTAGAGAGAGTAGAAGGTCAAAGGCACGAGTGATGAAGTGTGGGGAGTTTGGAGCATGGCAAGAAGGGCAGGAGAGGCCATGGGAGCAGGGAGGGAGAGCTGTGAGAGAGAGCAAAGCAGGGCCTTGAATCGCAGAGACATCTGGATTTTGTGCTGAAGACAAAGGGGGAACCTGTGAAGGATTTAGGCAGGAGAGTGACTTGGGTAGGGAGCATTTTAGAAGCATCAGATTAACAAAAGGGAGAGAGATCAAACCGGCGGCAGCACACAGAATGGCCTGGAGGGGGAAACTGGAACCAGAGGACCTGGTTCTGCAGTAGTGAGAGGGAGGAAGAGGCAGGAACAGAACATTAGTTAGAAAGAAATGTCCCCGATGGGATGGGGTGGAGGGGACGAAGGGGAACTTGGAGGCAAAGATAACGCTCAGCTTTCCCGCGGCAGTGTCTGCACAAATGGGGGCAAATGAGGAATGAAAATGGGTTCACGTTTGGGCTCATTGAGTTTGTGGAGCCTGCGGGACATGGAGGAGGAGACACCAAGTAGACAGCTGGATACAGAAGCCTGGAGTTCAGGGCAGTGGCCCGGTTTGAGACAGAGATTTGGGAGTTATCAGCAAGCAGGTTGTACTCAAAGCCATGAGGTAGAGGAGCTTGTCCACGGTGAGCGTCTAGAGTGAAAGAGCGGCAGCAGAACTCTGGAGTCACCAGCACGGACGGTGTGAGCAGGGCAGAGGAGCTGGTCTCTGACCCAGCGGAGGGTAAATGGGCTCGAATTTGAACTGAGTGACTTAGGGGCTGCTGATGCCCTCCTTTGGCTCCGCTAGACCCACTCCCCGCCTTTCCCCACCCTGCCTTCTGCTCTGGAGGCTGGCCCGTCTGAACTGCATCAATAGACTTCCTGGCCCTCTGGCTTCCCGATGCCTCCGCTAAAGGGACCACAAGGCAGGAGGTGGAAGGGGCCGGGGTATTTATTCTCAGCTCCCCTCCTATGGGGTTTCTTCAGGTCGGCTATGTCCCTTAACTGAAGGTCACAGCTCCTGCCAAGGGCCCTGTCCACACACGCTGTCCTGAGGGATTTCTCCCTGCCCTCACTCCTATAGGCTCAGGGGTGGCCAGGGTGTCTGAGGGATCCTGGCCTCAGGAGTACTGCACCATTCCATGGTTTCCCTCCCCACTTCCTGCACGTTGGCAAGTGGTTCCTAATTAAACTCTCCACAAATCACCCACTTCATGCCATCTCTTTCCTCTTGGGACACATCAGATTCTCAGATGCTGCAGGAATCCCATCACTGATCGGGTGGATACAGAACAGGGAAAAGAAGGAGCACAGAGATGGGAGACAGTGAAGGGTCCTGACATGCACTGAGTGCCTCTGCACCAGGCCCTCTGACACCTTATTTTATCTAATATTTCCAAGAAGCCTGCGTGTCAGTTCAGACACCAAGATGGAATTAAATATGCAAGAAAGGTATTGGGGGAAACACTCCTGAGGGTGCAGGGGGAGCAGGAGCACGCAGGAAGAATCTTCAGACCACAGAGCAGGTCTGATAGCTGGGAAAGGAGAGAGAGAAGAAAGGGCTGGGTTGATTTATGGCTGGAAACATCAAAGCCCTGAGAGGCCACCAAGCAGTAGACAGCAGAACTAGCTCTGAACGATGGTCTGCACCTCAGCGACACATCAGCTGCTGTGACTTGTATGAACCCCCTCTCTTCCAGGTACCGGAAACTTGCCCTTAAGAACCACCCATTGAATTCCATTGGACCATCCTCAGTAGAAACGTTCAGGCAAATAGCAGAGGCCTACGATGTGCTGAGCGACCGTGAGTGACTGGGGCTGAGCACGGAGGAGGGACCCCGGGACACCTGCTGTCCCACTTCTCCTTTAAGATTATTCTCTGAGTGTTGGGCTTTTGAGGGGGCCCAATAGAGACTAAGCATTCCTCTTCCCTCCCAGAATCTAAACAAACTGAGAAAGAAAGCAGACTGAAGTATTACCTTTCTCAGTAGACACAAGCTAAGGCTGAGGCCATGACGTGGAAAGCCCCTGGATTAGGCTGACGTGCTCACTCAGTCTCAGGGCAGGGCCTGGGGAAGCTCTCCCACGTCCCCCAGGCCTCACCTGTCCCTGCAGGGATGGAGAGATGGCTGCTGCCACGGGAGGAAGGCTAAGGCTGAGGCAGGCACACCCAGTTATTCTTCCCAGATTTCCAAGGGCTAAATCTCCATCTCCCCAAGAACAGAGTGTGTATAAAAGGGCAGAGAGAGGCCAGTAATTAGGAAATCTCTCTCCTATGGAAACCAGAACAGTGGAGAAAGTGTGACTCCCACCTCTGCCCGGGGCCGTGCCCACTGGGTTTCGCTAAGGGCTTGTCCTGAAGACTGTAATCCCAGAGACTGGAGAAGAAAGGCCAGATCACTAAGGTGTCTCCGGCCCTGAGTTTTCAGGATTGTAGAAGCCTTAGACTCTAGGATTTTAAAGCTCTAGAATTTGGAAGCTCTAGAATTTGGAAGCTCTAGAATTCTTAGATTCTAGAATTTCAAGGTTCTAGGATTTTATTTACCCCAGAGGAGACAGTAGCTATAATGACTGAGTTAAGCAAAATCCCAGGACAATAGCCTGACCTTTAGCCTCTTGATTCCTCCTCCCCAGTAAGTCTCAGTTTTGCCCCTCTCTCCTCTGGGCTATGAGACCACACCAGGACCACTCACAATAAAATGAAACCCATAACTTCTAGAATCTCCCTCCAAAGACTGCCAGGCTGTTTTTGCCCCTTCCTCTTGGCCCCATATCCTCCTGCTTCCCAGCCCTCCAGCTATCAGCACCCAAGGCTGGACCCCTCGTCAAGGTGACACTTATCCACAGCTGTGAAGAGAAGCATCTATGACAAGTTCGGAGAAGAGGGCCTGAAGGGCGGGATTCCTCTGGAGTTTGGATCCCAGACCCCATGGACAACTGGTTACGTCTTCCACGGCAACCCCGAAAAGGTTTTCCATGAGTTCTTCGGAGGAGACAACCCCTTTAGTGGTAAGAGATCCTCCCTACCCCTTGCCTTACAGAGAAAGGACAAAGCTGTGAAAGATACTTTGCTTTGAGTAGTTTTGTTTTGTTTACTTTAGGAAATATATATAGTACGTGGTAAAAAAAAAATTATTGAAGACAAAATAAATTGCAGCTCTCCATTCCTTCTCCAGAAGCAGCCACTCACTGTTAACACTTTGTGTGTCCTTCCAGAAATTTTCTATGCATTGATGAGCATATATTTATTTTTATATAAGCATTTTATTTCATTAAGGAAATGGAACCACATTGTACACACTGATTTTTTGCACTTATTATGTCTTGGAGATTATTTTATTATATACTATATTATATACAGACCTACTTTATTCATTTTAATGGCTGCATAAGATTTCATTGTGCAGGTGTGTGTTATACGAGCATGTGGATGGATGAGTGGATGATCCCGGGTCCCAGGCAAGCTGACAAAGAGTTGATTTCTCAGGCTCAGAATCATCTTGCAAGGACAGTTAACATTCAGACTTGTCTTCTTGGCTCCAGTTATGCGACTCACAGAGTCTAGATTTTCACAGCCTATCCCTCTAGCCCCTTCTCCCCGGCTATACTACAGCCTGTCTGCATTTCAAAAGTTCTTTCTTCCTTTTCTCCATGTTAACAAGTGGGTGACAGCCCACTGCCCCTCCACCTCAGAGACCCCACCCACTGTGCATTGGCCTCTCCTGTCTGCCAGAGGAAGCTGAGGTATGAACTCCATGTGAGACTGGAAAAAGCAAGGACTTGGGTCAGTAGGTCTGCTTCAAATCCATGTTCTGCCACTTATGAACTGTGTGACTCTGAGCAAATTTCTTCCCCTCTCTGAAACCTCAGCCTCCTCACTGTTAAATGGCTGTGATAGTCCGTGCCTCACAGGTCATTATCAGATGAGATAATGTTTATGAAAATGGGCTTCGCAGTCAGAAAAATGCCATGTTATGGACCTGTCTCTCCCAGGGACAGGTGCATGGAAAAGAGGCAGTTCAGGGGAGCCAAACCAGAGCTTACACAGGCATCGCTCATCAGGGAAGGTCAAGCTCAGAGTAGGGGGTCCCTCAAGCAGTGCCCAGGAGCTATACTGCCACAGTGCTTCACCCCAGGGGTTCCTGTGTCCCATCTCCCTGCAGAGTCAAGGGGCTGGGCTTCCTGGCTACCGGAGTGTCTAAGACCTGGCACGCCATAGCTGCCGAGTGAACAAATGAATTCAGCAATGCAAGAGGGGACCAGGTAATTCACAGGCCTCTCGATTACCCATCATATCTTAGAGGGGACATAGTGTGACCCCACTTGCCCTCTCCAGCCTAAGGTCATTGCACCATTCTAGCCTGTGAAGTTCATTCCACGGCACTAACCATGAGAGGCAGAGTACAAACAATTTTAATCATGATATGACCCCTGGCTCTGCAGTTTACAAAGGGCTTCACATCTAGCAATAAGCATGGTGATTAAGGGCCCAGGTTCTGTGGTCAAATCATCTGGGTTCAGATCCCAACTCTTCTACGTATCAGATGTGGGGCTGTGGGCGTTTTGTTTGGCCTCTTGACCCAATGAGATAATAATGCAAAGAGCCGAAAACAGCACCTGATGCACAGGGAGCTCTCAGCAAGTTTTAGCTCTTCTTCTCCACCATCTTGTTGTCTAATCCAATGGTGGAAGGCAGGCCAGGCATTATTACCCCATCCCACAGATGGAGAAACTGAAGCCCAAATGATTGCACAGCACATCAAGGCACAGGGGCTCTCTAGGATGGAAGGGCAGGGCAGCAAGAGGGGTCATGGGGGTAAAGCTGGGCAGGGGCAAAAGAGGAGTTTGGGAATATGCTGGTGACCTCAAATTTGTTAGGGACCAACCCTGCCCCACTGCCATCTAAGCTGCTGACTTCATAGAAACTTGAGTCTGGGGTCTCTGCTGGTCTTGGGCTGGGCCGGACAGTGAGGGGCAAGGGTAGGGAGGACTGGCATGCTATGACACTCCCCCACAAAAGCTAACAGTGCGTCATTTCTGGCATTACCAGGTACTGCCACCAGAGGGCACTCCTCTCTCTCCTGAGGCAGCCAGCATTGAGGGGCACATCCCCAAGTTGAGGGGACAGGGAGTGAGGAAAGTGGGGGGATGTCCAAAGCGGGGGATGAAGCAGTGAGGAGTGGCAAGGGATGATAATCATTGGATCTGCAATTGAGGACAGCTTCTTGGCCTGACCAAACAGTTTGAGTCTGCGAGGTGGGAACGGGATGCTGGGTATTACTCTTGGGGACTGAAGAAGGGAGAGCGGAGGATGTCTATGAATCCGAGTCTTTGAACATCATTTCTCTTACTCCTCTCCTCTCCCCACCTCCTGCAGAGTTTTTTGATGAAGAAGGAAATGAGACAGATTTGAACTTTGGGGGGCTCCGGGGCCGAGGGGTTAAGAAACAGGATGCCCCAATCGAACGAGACCTCTACCTATCCCTGGAGGACTTATTCTTCGGCTGCACCAAGAAAATTAAGATCTCCCGAAGGGTGAGTACTTGCCTTGGTCCTACTGGGAGCCACCATGTATCCCATCCAACCTGCCTGTCACTTCCTCCCTGACCCTAACTGGGGACCTCAGGCACGATCTCTGATAGAACCGTGGAATCTTAGACTTGGAGACCTAGGATTGTAGATTTCTAGAATCTGAAGTTTGGAAGGTACAACTGAGGGTATTAGCCCGTTTCTTTCCTAGTGCAGGAATCCCCTCTGCAGCGTTCCTGACTGGAATGGGTTCTTTCTCTTCTTCTCAGTTCAGCCGCAGCCCTGGGAGAAGTTTGGGCTCTGAGTGGGAGGAGTCTCCTGCAAATTCTGCCCTCTGGGCATTATTCTTTGGCAGACCAGACCCCCAGGGTTTCATCAAAGTGTATGCTTCATGCTTACGAGGTAGCAGTGTGCGCATGGAGGGTGGGCTGGGAGATAGTCCCCAAGGGGACTGGTTAAGGAAGATCCTCAGTCCCATGGCCCAGTGCTAGGCACAAGAGCAAGGCCCTCTCACACCTTTGCCCAGCAGAGGAGAAGCCAACTGTGCTCATGCTTTCCATAGATGGCACCTCTCTGGGCATGTGATTAGGGAATGGATGGATGACATAGTAAGAAAATGCCTCAGATATGTTGATCTCATGATCTTTCCCTCTTTGGGACTAAGAGACCTGCCAGAGGCTCAGGGCCAGAACCTCTGGGTGGAAGAGGAACTGGTAAATGTTCGCTGTGTATCAGTTAGTGGCCAAGGCCGCGTGATTTCTGGGACTGGAGCTGTGGGCTTGATCAGCTCATGGTGACTGCTTGACTTCTCAGGCCTCAGCCCCATGACGTGCACTGCCATCCTGGAATCATAAATTCTTGGTTCTGTTGATGCAAAATAACCAATAACCATTCTATAGATAAGAGGGATAAGGTGAGTTTTACTTGAGTCAAGATGAGGATTATAACCCGGAAGGCAACTTCCACAAAGGAAGAAAGCATTCTGAGAAGCATGGTTTTCAGAACAGTTTGATACATTTTCAGAACAAAGAACATACATTACACACACCTAGGATCCATATTCATCAACGTTTCAGAGAGGTATTCAGTTGCAAATTAGTAAGTCAACATGACCCTGACGTCCAGGAAAGGAAACTTATCTTCAAGAGTACTGATACAGGTGTTACTGATGCTGGTGGGTGTAGGAGGGGAAGTATGCGTTCTTATCTTAAAAGAGTGCATTCTTTTACTTTGAGATAATGTTTAATGCATTCTTTAATTTAATAGTCAAAGTAGGGGTACAATGCACGTCTGACTTCTTTAGTTCAAGCCAAAAGAGTTTTGGGCCAGAATGCCACCCCATATACCTCAGTATGCGAAAATCTCTTGTCAGTTCCAATGGAAGGGGTGGAGTAGGAATGGCTTGGGGCAGGTTCTCCCCATTGCTAAAGGATTAAGCTGAACACAGATCCCACGGGGCATCTTTCATGTGTGTAAAGGCCACCTGGGAAATCCTGAGCAACCTCCCCCCATGCCATCCCGCTGCAGGTGCTGAACGAGGATGGCTACTCCTCTACCATCAAGGACAAGATCCTCACCATTGACGTGAAGCCTGGCTGGAGGCAGGGCACACGCATCACCTTCGAGAAGGAAGGGGACCAGGTGAGAGGGAGGGAAGCTGACTAGGGTCAGTCACCTGGGCTCATGTGGTGGAAGACTGAGGGGGAAGGAGGCGATGATTTTTCCTGCCCTTTGAGCCCTGGTCTGACAGGGACAGCAGTCTGCAGAGTGGGTGAGACGATCCCTAATGTCCCTTCCAAGGGACAGAGCCTCACGACACTTCTGTGAACGAGCAGCCCAGGGCTTCTCCCCACTTTGCCGAGTGGGAAACTGAGGCTCAGAGAAGGAAGGGACTTTCCCAGGGCAAGAGCACAAGAACTGAAAGGAGAACACAGTCCCAGCTCTAGTGCTTGTCTTCATTTTCTTCAGTGTTTCTCTGAGTGAAGCCCAACTATAGGAGCTACTCAGAAGCCATTTATTAATAATAATTTTAAATTAAATATTTATTTAAATAAAAATATAAAATTATTGTCCAAGGCATGCTGAGGCCTTAAGTCCCTAGAAGAGGCAGAGCGATGGTGTCTTCAGAGCCGAGAGAGATGAATTCCTCTGCCCCTAGTTCTTGCCCACTTTCTCACCCATGAACCATCTCCTTCCAAAAACCCCCTTCAAGACCCAGCCCCAGGGCTCACCCCTCTGGGCAGACTCCTCTGACCTCCCCACCGGGGTCAACGCCTCTCCGCTTCTGGGTTCCCTTTATCACAGTCTTGAGCATGCTGAGGACTCACCACGTGTCTGTTTCCCCTACTAGACTGGGATCTCCTTGGGCGTAGGGGCCGGTCTATTCCTCCATGCCCTGTGCCCAGAAGAGACCTCAGCAGAGTTTTGGTGACTTAATGAAGCTTGGCAGGACAGAGATTTATGGGTATTCCTCTGAACCCCAGCCCAGTGTTCTGCCCACCATCTGAGGAAGCCTCTGTCTCCCTCCAACTGAGTGCATCTCTTTGGGCATGCTCAGTAGGGGAGAAGTGGGGGGGTGGCGGCTGGGGCAGGAGTCATCCGGTAGGCTTCTCACAGGAGGGGCTATGGGGCCAAACTGAAAAGGCCCTTCCAGAAAAACTGGTCTAATCTGTTCATTGTTCAGACAAAGATATAGAGACCAGTAGAGGCAGGAACTTGGCCAAGGGCACACAGTCAATTAGTCCTTGGTCTCCCTTGCCCAGGGCCCCAACATCATCCCAGCCGACATCATCTTCATCGTAAAGGAGAAGCTACACCCTCGTTTCCGCAGGGAGAATGACAACCTCTTTTTTGTGAAGCCCATCCCCTTGGGAAAGGTGAGTGGGCAAAGAGGAGGAGCAGGGGGTGGGCGGATCAGAGTGAACACCCCCTGCCCCGTCAGAGGCCCCAAGGCAAGTGGGCCTCACTCTCCATTCACCTCAGAGCATGTTGCAGGCCTTCAGAATGTGATGAGTGCCGCACAATCTTTGCGGCTGTCTTCACTCGCCAGTGTGAGTGGCTCCTCCACGCCCTCACAGCCCCAGCAAGAACCTGGGCACTGGCCTAGACTTTGCCTCCCCTCCCCCACCCAATCTGCAGTCAGTCACTCAGTCCTGTCAATTCCACCCTCAAATCTCTCCACTTCGTCCCCTTCTGTTCATCCCCACTGTCTGTGTCTGTGCATCTGGATCTGTGCAGCAGCCTCCTCGGGGGCCCTCCTGCCTCCCTTCTCATCTCCTCCAGGCTCTTCCCCAAAGCGGTCTTTTCACATACTCATGGGACTGTGCCACATTCCTCATTGTCTAAACATCTTTGCACGGCATTCGAGGCCTCTACCATCTGGCTGGTCTCATCGCCCGCAGTCCAGCCACTGTGCCACTTAGAGCTCCTGCCCATTTGGTGCCTTTTCAGACCTTCACTCTCTTGTTTATGTTGTGCCCTCTCCTCGGAATGTGGTCTACCCACCTTGTCTAACTGGCAAGCTCTTCCTCATCCTTTAAGGCCCGCATCAACTACTACCACGACTATGTACCTTCATGTCCCACCCTGGAATGGTTTGGGGGCCTCTCCTTGGCTCCCACAGACCCCTTTACTTCCCTCTATCATAACACAACATCAATCTTACCTACCAGACTGTGAACTCCTTGAGGACAGGTAATCGCGTGGGTCACTCACCTGTTAGTCCTTGAACATCCCGGACTGCTCAGAGTCTGACACTGAATAGGCTGATAAAGTACCTTCTAGACAGAATGACCATGGGGACCTTCCCCACTCTCACCTTTGGCTCGAATGTCCCATAGGCTCTGACCTGTTGCACCGTGGAAGTGAAGACCCTAGATGACCGTCTGCTCAACATTCCCATCAATGACATCATCCAGTAAGTCCATCTGCTTGAGTCCTGGTAGGCAGGAGAAGGGCTGGCCTGGACCTCACTACCTAGGAGAGGGTAGTGTTAGACACAGCCTGGTACAGTTGTGCAGGTTGCACCCAGCACAAGGGGGCACGAGAGGACTGCAGTCCAGCCCCTACTTTGGCCAAGCTATGGGTTGCATTCACCTGGCAAATGGAGTGCCTTTTTCTAACTTGCATGAAGCCAGTGTGGAGGCTGGAGGCCTCCAGTGCTGGACAACTATTGCTGCCTTCATCCTCCAAAACATCTCATCAGGGTTCTGAGTTGGAACCCTTAGGTCCCTTTCCAAGAAAGGCCCTTGGCTTGGGAAACTTTGCTCAGTAGCCCATACTCCCCACCTCCAGCCCAGGGTCTGCTCACCTTCCTCCCTTCCTTCTCCTGTTTCCCATATCTAAAACAAGACCCCTGGAAGCCTCCACCAGAGACTCAGTGTAAATGGGTTTTCAGGGAGCAAGCTGTCTGGAACAAGCCACCCCTCTCCCCTCCCACCAGTTCTGGCTGGAAAGGGCCATCTCACGGCAGCAGCTGTAGTGACTGCCCCACGCCTGAGGTTATGGGAGCAGGGGAGGCCTGGGATGAGTTGAAGTGCTGCTCTGGGGGGCCCTCTAAGCTCCCTTGTTTCATCCTCCCCTGTCCCAGTCCCAAGTACTTCAAGAAGGTGCCAGGTGAGGGGATGCCATTGCCTGAGGACCCCACCAAGAAGGGGGACCTCTTCATTTTCTTCGACATCCAGTTCCCCACCCGCCTCACACCCCAGAAGAAGCAGATGCTGCGCCAGGCATTGCTGACATAACTCTGGTGGGCTGGGGGCAGGAACAGGAGAAGGGGAAGGCTAGCTGAGCCTCATGCCACTCCTACCCCCACGGCCTCAGGGTGTGCAAGGGAGCCAGCCCCCTGTGCCGACATGACGGGAGGCTGGGATGCCACGGGACTTTTTAAACTGACGCAATAAAGATTTATTTCCTGTCCTCCAGCTACACCCAGGAGAGTGTGTGTGGGAGGCAGAGGAGCATCATGTAGCCCTTCTGTGGAGCAGAGGGAAGGGCAGGGCCCAAGTAGCCAAGGACTTGGGTCCCTGTCCTGGCTTTGTGGGCATGGCCGGGTCCCTGAGGGTTCAGAGCCTCTGTGCTCCCACTGTGATAGCACGGGGCAGTGCTGTGTAGCCTGAGGGTCCCCAGCTCTGCTGATTTCTCATAACACACGATCTTTACAAGGGGCTGTCTCTAGTGTGATATGGTGACACTGTACTCAGGAAAACTGAAGCAGAGAAGAAAATACTTGTCCCAGGCCTCACACGGCTCAGTGGCAAAACTGTCATCAGAATCTCGAGGGTCGCTTCCCACAAACTCACCCAGCTTAGATTAGAGGCAGCACAAAGGACACACATGCTGGAATGGCTTTGGTTTCTCCCTCGCCAGCCTTAAGTCCCTTGTCTGTGCGGTGGGTCCTGGGCTGCCTCTAGGCAGACCTGGGTTCTGCTCCCAGCCCTGCCCCTCACCCCTTAGGCGTTAGGGTCCCTGTCTTATCCATAAAGCAGAGCTCATACCCTGCCTCAGGGTGCTTGCGAGGATTAAGTCATTGGTGTGAAAGTGCTTGGTGAACTTGCTTAGATTTCAGGGTGACAGCATTGCTGCCACCGTGGCCTGTGGGAGTCCCTGCCTCTAGGCCCAGCTGGGCCTGTGCAGACCACATCTGCTTCCTGTTGCCTACCATCAGCCAACAACGGTGTGTCAGGCACCTCTCCTGTGCCAGGGGAGACTCCCCACATTTGAGTCTAGGTTTGGGCTGTGATAGGTCCAAGCTTGACAGGAGGTGGCCACTTTTGTGGAGTGACTTCAGAGGTGCCAGAAAAGGCCCCCATATTTTCCATATTGCTTGGATTCCACCATTCAAAGCACCATATTAGCTTAAGGTTTTCTTCCTAAATGGGGACTCAGTAGCACTAATCAGTCATTTTAAACCATCAGGGAGAAGGCAGCAGCAGAATTTGAGGTAGAATCTGGACCATGGTTCTAGGAAGCATCTCCATAGTCATTAAACAATGTAGGCTTTGGAGTTAGATACACCTCAGGTATGCTACTTACCAGCTGTGTGCCCTTGGGCAAGTCGCTTCACCTCTTTGAGCCTCAGTTTTTTACAGCAAAGACTACAACTCCTATCTTGCAGGCCTTGTGGAAACCAGATGAGTGAAGCAAACTCTGCCCTCTAAGGCAGAACCCAGGTTGAGAGGGGTGGTGGTAGCTGCCCTGCTCAGAGAGCAAGCAAGTGGGTGAGGGAGTGTGGGGCCTGGGTTGTGACTCTAGGTCTCCTCTGGGCCAGCAGGAGCCTGCTCCTAACCTGCCTCATGGTGAAGCTCTGAAGGAAGCCTGACGAGACCTTTATGAAGATTACCTCTGTGATCCTCAGTGCTACCTTGAGTCAGGCAAAGCAGGGCTCACCAGAGGCTCATTTCATAGGCACTAAAGGTTGAGGACCAGTGACTGAGTCAGGCCTACCGGTACACTGCCGTGGTTCCTACCACTGTTCCCAGCTCCTCATTGTCCCAGGATCATGCTCAGAACCAGGATGAAGCCTGGTGGCCTACGTCCAGTCCAGTGTCTGGGACACAAGGCTGGTGAATGAACCAGCTGACAGACATGCCTAGGGCAACAAACTGCACCTGTTTCCTCTGGTGCAAAACAGTGACAGCCTGCCCCACAGGATTAATGTGAGAATTAAGGTGCGTTGACCGGCACCTCCACTTATGCTGACTCCCTGTAGCCCAGCAGAGAAGAGCCTGGCTGGGCTGCCTGCCACCTTCAACCAGGTTCAACTCATGGCACCCAACCCTGTCCCTCTTGGAGACTACGAGGCTTCAGCTCAGCCTGTGAGAAGAAGGAAGTAAGGTGACAAATCCTGGGCCCTCCTTCCTTCTCCGGGCCTCCTTGCCCAAGCACTGAAGGGCCTAGCCTCCAGGAATGACCAGCAGGGAAGGAGCAGCAGCATGAGCTGCTTTAGGCTGTGGGAAGTGGGAGGTCATTATTTTCTGGGCCTGGCTCCACAGCTGCCCAACAGGATTCTGGTAGGACCCCAGCACTGGCCCCTGGGGGACGAGTCCACAGGGTCGGGGAGGAGTCTGAGTCAGAGTCCCAGTTCAGCTGCCGTCTTCCTGTGTCCTTGCCTGTGTGACCTGTCGCAGCCCTCAGCTTCTGCAGACATCTATAAAATGGTCCTGGGTGACTTAATTCTGAGGGCCCAGCCTTGCAGGAGAGGCCTCGGGTATTCCGGGACCTCAGAGTCCCCTAACCCTTGAAACAGAAGCAGCCCTGCCTACCTGCTTTACTGCCGCTGAGGACAGGCAGGCAGGAAGGCTGACATCCCTGTGCAGGCTAAGCCATGGCTTGTCACCATCTCCTTGGGATCTCTAGCCCAGGGAGAGGGCGAGACTCGAAGTGGAAAGTATCCTCAGGCTGCAGCCAATGTTTGCCCTGCAGCCCGCTCCACCCAGTGCAGGTGCACCCAGGCCCCCTCCTGAGGGTGTGACTCTGGAGGATGGGAAGCAGCCTGACTTGTCCCCACTGAGTCCGGGACTTTGGGGAGGTTCGTTTCCCATTTGTAAAACGGGATAAAATAAGCCCACAGCACCTAAGATTCCGAAGTTCCTCTAAATCTTCCAGGAAGCACAGGAAATGCAGGGCAGATGGGAACACTTTCACTTTGCAGATAAACAGGCCTGGGGCCAGCTGGGAGGTTGGAAAGGTTGGTGCTGGAGCACCAGGCACTGAGTGAGGGAAAGCTCAAGTGGCCTGGCAGGGGAAGGGGAGGCGAGGCCACTGCTGTGACTGTGGGATGCTCCTTCACTTGCCACCTCAGCCCCAGGCCTGGTCTGGAAAACAAAATGGACTAGATGACCTCCATGGGTCCCAGGCTGGGTGCTAGGGGTAGAAGGTAGCCCACATACTCCTTTCAAAGTGGCTCCTCCCTTGTCTACCAGGTATCAAAAGGGCCCATTCGACCAAGACCTCTGGTAACAGCTACAAGAGAGGGAGGAGACACCAAGGTTGAGGTTGCTTTATGGGTGATGTGCTGGTGGGGCTGGGCTGGGAGCAGGATGAAGAGTTGGGCTGAACTTTTCAGGGCACTGAGGGCTTGGAATCCTGGCTGTTGCCAGGCCTCCCACAGGGTCAGTTGGGGTCAACTCCACCAGGACTGAGAGGCAATGGAAGATGGGGTACGGAAGAGGGATGAGAATGTGGGGAGAGGGAAGGGAGGTGGTGGGAAAGGGAGAGGAAGGAAGGGGTGGGGGGAGAGAGAAGGGAAGGAGAGGAGGAGGAAAAGGGAAGCAGGGCCTGGCTGAAGCCAAAGCAAAGCCAGCGGTGGTCAGGTCAGCAGCAGGAGAGGCTCAAAAGGGAGCTTCCTGGGAAGTGCAGGCAGCCATGAGGGCCCGTTTCAGCTGCTCATAGGTGACGAACATCACCACGTTCCAGGAACCCAAACGGAGAAAGGAGGGCATGAACCTAGAGGGGAGAAAACACAGGTCACAGGGGGCACCTCCCACTTACCCTGCTGGGCCCTGGCATCCAATCCAACCCAGCTGCTCGTCTCAAAGGAGGTTGGGAAGGCCCAGGTAATAGCCTCACAGCTGTGTGGCTGTGAGCAAGAATCCCTTCCATTTAAACCTCCATAAAGTAGGGATGATAGCAACTCTGGGAAGGAGTTAAGAGCATGAGAGAATGCCAGTGAAATACCAGGGCCAGGATCAAAAATAGTTTGATACTTGGTTGCTGCTCAGTCCCAGGTGGTTC